TCCACTCTAACGGCAGAGGACCCAAGACCATTTGAACAGAAATTGGTCATAAACATCGACGGACGACAAATCTCCCTTTTCAACCCTGACAGAGCCTGGACCAAACCAAATTTCTGGTCAGAATCTCCAACTACCTGGACAAATATTCACTTGGGCGATATCCACAATGACTTGGTGGAAACTCCTGGGCCATTCACAGCAGAAAAGATGAAAACCTCCAAGAGTCTCGATGTGTTGTTGAACTTGTTGGAGTCCACGGTTTGTTAGGATCTTCTACGTTTGCTCTGTGAATGTTTGAAAGACGTTTAATTCACCGTTAGTGGTTCTTTTCACTCAGAATACGAAAAAGACATTTTCCTTCTTCCGTGCTTCTATTTGTGCATCTGATAATGCAGCAGGAATTTACCATTATCAGGGAGAAATACATGAGGTTATGCACTGTGTTTGACGCTACCGTGTTTCTTGCCTCCGACCAAAATATTTCCCAGCATGCAACGCGGGCTTTAAATAACAATGACGTCAGCTGAAACTCGCCTGTTGATCGTGCTTGTTTTGCCTCTCAGTTCCCACTCTGTCTTATTCAGTCTGACTGACCGGGGTGTGATGTGTGTACAATCCAATTGATTCTGAGTGACCTTTAATAGATTTAAGATCCTATAAAATGGCCTGTTTTTAATCTACCTTAGACACCTGAGCCTTTGTATTTCCTGTAGCACACTCTGATTTTGCCTCTAACCTGAATCTCCTCTGAGCACAGACACATTGGCCAGTCTCAAAAATGATTAGATAGAAGTATGATATAACTCTACAGAAATATGATATGATAAACTAAATATGATATGATAAACTAAATATAATATGATAAATTAAATATGATATGATAAATGTTCATATAGAAACAAAAGCTGTGTATCATTCGTTCATTCGTTTTTCAATATAAAACCAAAAAAAAGAAAATGAAAAAACAACTGTTTTCTTCATTATTTGTCTCTAAAACCAAAATGAAAAAACAGATAAGGATTCGTTTTTTCATTTTTCAATTTTGTGTTTAAATGAAAAATGGAAAAAACAGATAATGGCCGTTTCCCGTTTATGTGACTTCCGTGACTGTGATGTCGGACTTTTGCGCTGCATTTGGACTGAACCAGGACTGATCCAGGTCCGGGACCAGAGCGGACTCTGAGCTTTGACTCCGAGCCTCTCCAGGGTCCGAGCCTCAGCTTCGAGCTCCGGCCCTGCCGTGGGCTCTGAGCCTCCAGTGTGGTCCTGGCCTAGTCCCAGCCTGGTCTCGTTCTCAGTCCCGGTGTGGTCCCGGTCTGGTCTCAGTCTCGGTCTGGTCCCGGTTTCAGTTCTGATCTCAGTCTTGGGCTGGTCTTGGTCTGGTCTCAGTCTGGTCTCGGTCCCAGTCTCTCTCTGGTCCCGGTCTGGTCCCGACCTGGTCCTGGTCTGGTCTCCGCCTCAGTCCTTCTCTGGTCCCGGTCTGGTCTCAGTCTTGGTTTGGTCCCGGTTTCAGTTCTGATCTCAGTCTTGGTCTGGTCTCGGTCTGGTCTTGGTCCCAGTCTCGCTCTGGTCTCGGTCTGGTCCCAGACCTGGATCAGTCCTGGTTCAGTCCATATGCAGAGCAAAAGTCCGGCATTGCAGTTACGTAAGTCATGTAAACGTTATCCATTTTTTCCATTCTTCATTTAAACACAAATTCGAAAACTGAAAAAACGAATCCTTATCTGTTTTTTCATTTTGGTTTTAGAGACAAATAATGAAGAAAACAGTTGTTTTTTCATTTTCTTTTTTTTGGTTTTATATTGAAAAACGAATGAACGAATGACACACGGATTAACATATTTTATGGCACTGACACTGAAGCAGAAGAACTCCATTAACCCTTTTCAAAATGAACCGTCACATTAAAATAAATAAAAATGAATATAAATAAAACCACTATGACACACTTCACATACAACGGACATGCAGCAACACATAAAACTGAACATAAACGGTGGAAGAAAGTTTCGCCTCTGCAAAGAAAAATGCAAAAGAACACTAACAGAGTCACAGAGGTCCACCAGGGGGCGCTCTCCTCAGATCCACCACAGACACGGAGGAATCTTCCTTCCACACTCCAAACCCAGGAAACAGAGGCTCGGTGATGGAGGAGCTGAAGGTGCGGAGGTGGAGCAGTTCTCCATCTGAGTGGACCTCATAGAAGGACAGAGATCCAGCCTCAGAGTCCAGAAACGCAGACACTCGACCAGAGGAACCGGAGGAGGAGGAGGAGAGGGTTGCTTCTTCGTTGTTGTGATAGAAATAGTAAAGTCCGTTAAAGATCCTCAGACCCCAGGACAGTTTGTTGCGTCCAAACCTACACTTCTCTCTCTCTCCTCTCCGTCTGATTCCTCTGTAACTCACTGCTATTTCAGCCCACCCGCTCCACTGCACCTCCCAGTAACAGCGCCCCCTCAGGCCAGTGCAGCTCAGGACCTGATGCCAGTCTATAAATCTGTCCTCGTGATCTGGATACGGCTGCTCCTCTCTCACGAGAGTTCGCCGTCCGTTGGTCCTCAGACAGTTTGATGCTTTCTGTGAGCTGTGTTTGGATCCAGAGAAAACTCACAGGAATCTGAGGACACAAACACATGACGTCACTTTCTGTTCTTGTGAATATAAGTTTTCTATTTAATTTATATTTTAAGATGTATCATATTTTTCAGACTATAAGGCACACTTAAAATCCTTAAACATTACGCTTTATGTATTAAAGGTTGAATGGAGGATTTTTTTTTTTTTTTTTCAATTTGTCAATGAAAGTTTAAAATACCATTACAGAGACGCAGCAGCCTTGTAATTATGATGACCAAAAAAAAAAAAAAAAAAATCTATCAACCGTGGACGTGTTGAGGCCAGATAAACATCAGCCAATAGAAAACAAGGCTCCCTCTTTATCTATTGGCTGTTCAGTTGTCAATCAAACAACTGACTCGCCGGCATGCGGGGATTATGTGGTTTATGCAGCGGTTGTTAGAGGCTTTTTTAAAATTGTAGCTTCCTCGCAATTCGCTCAAAGTTTGTTGCGATGGCGGTGGAGAATCCACGACCAGTTCGCCGCAAGAGAAAGTCCATTTTTGAGGTCGCTGAAAGAAGAAGAGAAGGGGAAAAGGAGCGAAGCCAAACTGAGGTGATTCTTGGAGATTCCTTCCAGCGATTGCACGAATGAAGCAGATGTCTAAAAACTGATGCGTCGGTCGCTGAATTATTTCTCAACAGTAATTTTGAACATGCACTGACTGTAAACAAGTGTGATTTCTAGAGTCAGGAGGCGGGAGGAGGTGTTTCTCCTGAGGGAGCTGTGGAGGAGCAAGATGGTGTCATGCATGCACATTTAAAAAAGGACTGTGGCTGTATTTCTCTTTCCTTAAAAAATCCTCCATACAACCTTTAATTCTGGTTGTGTTTACTGACCTCAAACCGATTTTATGTGGTACATGGCACTTAAAAATCTGTCAAAATGTCTTAATACGACTTTGGTAAACTACGAAGCCGCACGTTTGATTGATTGTCTGATTGATGCTATCGTAGTCAGGAGCCTCGTAGAGTAAAGGGCGAAGTATAGTTCTGCGTCAACTCAATGCACTCTGGCGCTGCCGTCTTGTCGCCGCCGTTTTTCATTAATGGATCTGTGTCGAGGTTTATGCGCCACGAAGTAATTCACCACCACAACGCTAGGACCTGGCGTTCGTGTAGACGGTTCATTTAGAAAAGGGTTTACTGGAAAATTCTCAAACAGCCATTTGGAGCATCTCCCACAGAAAAGAAAACACCCAGAGCCACAAACCCCTTTTGACGTTAAAATAAAGATAACACTGCATTTTTATTTAAATTTTTTATCTGTATGCTATGTATAAAAGACTATTGTGTTCCAATTATGACGTCAATGAAATGCTATAGTATATGAGAATATATGTCCATTCATATATACAGTCTATATGACCTGCAGACTTATAATCTCTGAGGAGATTCACATGAACCATCTCCAATGCGATAGAAGCACAGAACAGACTCACCATCTGCAGAACACTCCTCTGTCACAGAAAGAACACTCATATTCATGTCCTTTAGTCCGACAGAAGTTGACCGCATCAGCGCACAAGGAGCGAGCAGTTTTTTTCAGCACTTATAGTTTATATAAATAAGCCACGTGGTTTTAAGTTTTGTTTCTGTAAAATGTAAACAAATCTATGCAAAGCTGCATTAAACGCATTATTACTCAATGTATATTTGAGTCGTCCTCATAGGAAATAAAAATCCAAACTTAAATGATCCACCGACATTCACATTCATAATCCACATTCACCAAGACAGAGAGGCAACGCAGGGGGAATTACGCCACGATGTGACAATAGATCGTGGACGTCTGGGCTGAGGGATCAGTCTCAAGTGTCGTCCGTTTGTTTTGATTCATACCCAAAACCCAAAACATGCTACATCCAGGAAGAACAGTTGATAGTCAAGGTCAGTTAAATACAATCAGTGAACCTGCCCAGGGACGACAGGTAGAAATTGGTACTGTTGCTACAACCTGGTACAAGCATCTCTCCTGTTGAGGTTAATGTAAAAATTGTGCACTGTCCCTGTCTCATTAAATAAATAAATTTAATGCGCCTTATAATCTGGTGCACCTTGTAGTCTGAAAAATCCTGCAGTAATCTATCTGAACAACAATCATGTGTTAAGTCTCTAGACATATTTTGTATCTCAAATCAGAGTTTCATCTATAACTGTGAAGATTTAAAACCTGATAAAGCCAAAAATCAAATGGAATAAAATACAGAGACTCACACTTCCTCAGACCTGGGACCATCCACTGTTCTCCAGCAGGATCCAACCTGAAACACACAAGTCCAGTTTAGACCAGACCAGAGACCAGGATCTGGACCGACCATGGACCAGAGACCCACTGAACCAGGACCCTCACCTGAGAGACTGCAGGGGGCAGTGGGGGTCGTCCCGTAGAGCGGTCAGGAGCTCTGCTGAGGGTCCTGGATGGTTGTAGCTGAGGTCTAACTCTCTCAGGTGGGAGGAGGCGGAGCTCAGAGCTGAGGCCAGAGCAGCCCCGCCCCTTTCTGAGACCAGACATCCAGACAGCCTAAAGACACAGAATTACACTCATGTGGACACAAGGGGGCAGAGTGCATCATGGGAGCGTCTCACCTGAGAGTCTCCAGTCTGCAGGGGGCGCTCTTCAGTCCAGAACACAGCAGCTCCACTCCTGAGTCCTGGAGGTCGTTGTTAGTGAGATCCAGATGTGTGAGACTGGAGGAGCTGAGGACTGAGGCCAGAGGAGCACAGCTGTGAGGAGACAGACCACAGCCACAAAGACTGAGGACAGAGAGGGACATTAGAGACTAGAACCTCCACACAAGAGTTTAAATACAGTCTGGACTCACAGGACTTTGGTGGAGGCTCTGACCACCGGCAGCAGACCCAGGAGAGCAGTGTGTGAGCCCTGGTATTTCCTCAGATCAAACTCCTCCACATCTGAGTCTGAGGACAGTAAGAGGAAGGACAGAGCCGACAACTGAGCAGGAGAATTTAACCAGGGGAGCTCTCCCTTTCTCATGTACTCCTGTATCTTATCAACCAGACTGTGGTCGTTCAGTTCATTCAGACAGTGGAGCAGGTTCAGGCATCTCTCTGCAGACAGACCCTTTTCATTCAACTTCTCACTGATGTACTTCACTGTCTCCTGATTGGTCTGTTCACCTTCTCTCTGAGTCAGCAGACCCTGCAGCAGCCTCTGATTGGTCGGCAGAGACAGTCCCAGGAGGAAGCGCAGGAACAGATCCAGGTGTCCGTTTGGACTCTGTAAGGCCTGGTCCACAGCAGAGCGGTAGAAGGCTGCCTCAGACTTAGGACTCTTAAAGGAGTGTGATGTGTCCAGCAGGTTCTCTCCAGAGCTGTAGAAGATCTGATGGACGTGAAGAGCAGCCAGAAACTCCTGCACACTCAGATGGATGAAGCAGTAGACCTTGTCCTGGTACAGGCCTGGCTCCTCTCTAAAGACCTGTGTGAACACTCCGGAGTACACTGAGGCCGCTGCAGCGTCCAGCCCACACTCGCTCAGGTCACTCTCGTAGAAAATCAGGTTTCCTTTCTGCAGCTGCTCAAAGGCAAGTTTTCCCAGAGACTTCACCATCTCCCTGGTCTCTGGAGTCCAGTGATGGTCCTCCCCTGATCCCTGGTGATACTTGATGTTCTGGACTTTGGCCTGCACCACCAGGAAGTGGGTGTACATCCGTGTGAGAGTTCGGGGTAGCTCTGGTCTCTTTGTTTTTTCCAGAAGTTTCTGTAGAACTGTGGAGAGGATCCAGCAGAAGATCGGGATGTGGCTCATGATGTGGAGGCTGCGGATGCTCTTGATGTGGGAGATGACGACTGTGGCCTGGTCTCTGAACCTCTTCCTGAAGTACTCCTCCTTCTGATGGTCAGCAAACCCTCGCACCTCTGTCACCATGGAGACGCACTCAGCAGGGATCTGATTGGCCGCGGCGGGGCGCGTGGTTATCCAGAGGAGAGCGGAGGGAAGCAGGCTCCCCCTGATGAGGTTCACCAGCAGCACGGGCACTGAGGTGGACTCTGTGGGGTCGGTCAGGACCCGGGTTCGGCTGAAGTCCAGAGGAAGTCTGCACTCGTCCAGACCGTCAAAGATGAAGAGCACCTGGAGCTGTTGGAAGCTGCAGAGATGTTTGGATGGACTGAAGAAGTGGTGCAGCAGCTCCACCAGGCTGAACTGTGTGTCTCTGAGCACATTGAGCTCTCTGAAAGTGAACGGGAACAGCAGCTGGAGGTCCTGGTGGGCCCGGCCTTCAGCCCAGTCCAGACTGAACTTCTGAGTCAGCACTGTTTTCCCCACGCCAGCCACGCCCTTCGTCAGCACTAATCTGATTGGCTCTGGTGAATGTGGGAGGGGTTTAAAGAGCTCCTCACATGTGATGATGGTCTCTGGAGCGGGTCCGGTCTCCTGGACGCCGTCTCCACGTGTCTGACCTCATGTTCCTGGTTGACCTCTGAGGCTCCGCCCTCTGTGATGTAGAGCTCTGTGTAGATCTGGGTCAGGGGGGCGGAGTCTCCTGCTTTAGCCACGCCCTCAAACACTCGACTAAACTTCTGTTGCAGATGCCTCTTCAGTTCATCTCTACAAACTCCAGCAGGGTTTCCTGAATAAAGACACAAAGCTCAGCTCAAGCTCCTTCTGACAAAAGTAGAAGCTGGATCCAGAATACAGTCGTTATTATTTACATGTAAATATCATTTACACTTTACATATTTAAATGAATATCTACTTTTTTTTTTTTTTTTTTTGTGGATGCATCCGTGCTGCATTTCTACAATCAGTAAGATGTGTGTGCAGTGTTGAGATGCATGTGAAATAAGTTTTGTTTTATCCATAAACTCAAAATCAGTACTCTTAATACACAATAAACACATCAGAGCTCAATGTGAAAAAAGCTATAAAATCTATATCTATATCTATATCTATATATCTATACAAATACGGACAAATACAAGGAACAAAAGCATGCCACATCTTTTAATGGCAATAAAATTTTCAGACTACAGATGACTTAATTTTAGACACCCCGAAAATCAAAGTGAAATAATGATGTGGCAGGTTAGTCAATTTTGCCAAAACAATAGAGGGATGTCCTTCCAGATATGTAAGAGCATCACTGAGCTCCTGCAGACTCTGAGGAGCAACTTGTCGACAAATGATGGACCAAAAGATAATGTCCCAAACGTGTTCTATCAAGTTTAAGACAGGTGATTGTCAGGGCCATTCAGTTGTGTCAATCCCTTCATTCTCCAGTTACTGCCTACATACTCTTGCCACATGACGCTGGCAATGTCATGCATCAGGAGGAATTCAGGACCTACTGCACAAGCATAGGGTCTAAAAATGGATTCAAGGATTTCATCCCGATACCTAATGGCAGTCAAACGGGCATTTTCTGTCCAGTAGAGGTATGTGCGTCCCTCCATGGATATGCCTCCCCAGACCATCACTGAACCATGGATTTACAAATATGAAAGTAGGGAGCCATAATAAATGGCAAAAATACTCTTAAGGAATACTACTTTACGGTGTACTGTAATAGCACGTTTTTATCAATGCACTTAGTATGAAATTGTTACATTTGTGTAAACGGATGCTAAGTGGGTTGTTTTCATATGAGTTTAGTTCACATTTGTGTGCTTTTGATGATGGACCAAAATGTCACAGTCAAGTGCGCTTAAGTGTGGCTGATGATATCTTGTCAGTGAACTGAGTGTGGAAATGGACCAATAATTAACACTTAACTATGCAAATATCTAGGTGTACTTCGATTTAGTACACTTGAGTTTTATTTTTTTTTATTACTTTGGTACTTTTTATTGTTATTACATTCAAAAGTAGTAATTTTACTGTGACGTCAAGTCTGGTGTGGTCTGTTCCACAGATGAACAGTAACAGTTCTTACTGTATTGCAGGCGCTGGGCCAGCTGCTCCTGGTCCATCCTCCTCAGGAAGTCCAGGGTGATGTTCAGAACCTCTCTGCTGCTCTGCTCCTCCTCCTCACTCTCAGAGCATTCTGGGTAATCTGAGGCCAGGAGCCTGTGGAGCCTCTGCAGCTGCTCTTTGACAAAAGTCATGACGTCCTCCTCCAGACGCTGGAACAGAACAATAAGAGAAGAGTTTTAGTCAAAGACAGCACCTGAGGAGCACCTAGAGAACCCCACACATGCTGCGCTCGTGGGGTACTCACCCTGAATATGGCGTCCAGCTGCTCCTTTGGGCCTGGCTCCCTGTCAAACAATAAACTCATCATCATTTATTTATTCCAGACTCATGGTCCATAAAAGAACAGAATAAGACAGAGACAAGAGTAAAACAGGGTTATAAAAGACAGATCAGTGTTTCCATAAAGAGCAGTGTTACTGCACAGAACTAAACCTGACACTCACCAGCATCACCACCACAGAGTTCACAGACTCATTTAGGCCACAGATGGATTTATACACCAGGTTTGTCATGAGAACCTGAAAAGTTCACATGAGCCTGACAGAACAGGAGACTGGAACTACTGACCCTGGACTTTTTCAGCAGCATTCTGAGGACATCATTAGAAGATACTTTGAGCTTTTGCAGTGTGTCCTTGTGATATTTGCACCACAGTGGGGCTGGACACAAGGATGTACAGGAGGTTCACACACAGAGACAGTGCTGTTGGTGAAATATGTTAGTAAGATTATTAAATGTACTTTCAATTTAAGAGTAAAAAGAAATCAGTAATTGGCTGTGACATGAATCTTTACAGCAGCTGTTCCCAAACACCAGCATGGACTGGGACAGGGCCAAAATCGTAGGAACAGAGGAGCACAAGTAGAAAAGGTTGTTACGAGAAACTAAAACTAACTAAAATTGATGCGGGAAACACTGAACATCAACGGAAACAAGGGAGCATTTACCTTTGCTCACACTTGAGCCTCACTTCTCCGAAGACCACTGCACGACGGCAGGCGTGGTCAGTCTGATAGATCTGCCAGGTCTGTCAAATAAACCCACCCTGGGGGACTTGCCACAGCAGTCAGCTGACACCTCTGAAGAAGGCAGAAATCCTGCCGCCCAAGGTGTCAGGTGTAAATAAGCAATAGCAATAGTCATATGTCTCACTGAGATTAAAACACACGGCCACTGTTTGAACTGATGAAGAATGAGCAGCAGATGTGCTATTCCGAGAGCATGTCCACATCTCTTACCTCTGGTCTTCACGAGGATCTTCTCTAAATTTAGGAAGGAAGTCTTTGGAGTGGTCACTTTTCAGAGACACAGAGCTGGGAGCAGGTTCAGGTCTGGGTTTAGACCCGGGGTCAGGTCCAGGTGGGTCCATGTTGTAGGAGCTGGAATCAAAAGAAGAGTCCATTTGAACAGAACATACAGAGATGTCTATTGTTTAGAAGTTCTGTTCTCCAGATGTGGAGTTTCAGAGCCGCAAAGGACAAGCTCTGATGGTTAGGAGGACTCCATCAGATCTACTCACACTCTTTACACTAGTGCTCTGAGACGTGAGTGGTATGTAGCTTTAATCACCAGGACAAAATGAGAGGATGTTGTTTGTTCTCCTGCTTTAGGATCAGACGATGAGACTGAGACTCACAGTACAGAGGACATCCACTGGCACAGTGTGGTGCAGTTTGGATTATCAACTGGAAACTTGTTCCTAACTAATCTTTGGAGTATGGAACATATTTATATTCAAAGGTTTCATAAGGAATGTTATGTGACAGGCCTGAAGTCTTCTCCAACCACAAGCTCCGTCTGTTTATCAGTGTGAAAAGACCTGTTCAAATGTCTCACCTCTGATCTTCAGGACGAGCTTCACTAAATAAAGGAGGAAGGTTTCTGGACTCATCACTTTTCACAGACACAGAGCTGGGAGCAGGTTTAGATCTGAGTTTAGACCCGGGGCCAGGTCCAGGTGGGTCCATGTTGTAGCTGCTGGAATCAGAAGAAGAGTCAATTTGAACAGAACATACAGAGATGTCTCCTGATTAGAAGTTCTGTTCTCTAGATGTGGAGTTTCAGAGCCGCAAAGGACAAGCTCTGATGGTCAGGAGAACTACACCAAAACTATTCACACTCTTTACACTAGTGCTCTGGGATGTGAGTGGCATGTAGCTGAGATAGACATTTAGATTGTGGAGAGATTTCTCTCAATCTGTCTTGTGTAAATGATGGTGATTTCTACCTGAAACCCAGACCAGTCATGAACATGTGTAAAGGTTCATCAGGCACAACTGTCTCCTCCTTCAGGAAGCCTTTTGTCATCATCAACTGTGTGTTCATTTAGCACCAGCCTCTGAAACCAAAGTCACTCTGCATTGATATGTATGTCACTTGTGTTTCTGTATAAATACTCAGAGCTCAAATGCACTGGAGAGATACTGGGGCAGATACTGGGGCAGAGACTGGGGCAGAGACTGGGGCAGAGACTGGGGCAGAGACTGGGGCAGAGACTGGGGCAGAGACTGGGGAGAGACTGGGGAGAGACTTGGAAGATGGGGCAAGGTGTGGTTGGGACATACTGCTGGAGGAGAGGCTGTTGGGCTTTAGCCAGAACAGGCCTAGGCCCTGTCCATATCTGCTGTAACAAGAATAAACCTTGGTCTGTATTCCAAAAACTCATCGGGCTTCGCAAATGGATTTATTATTTATCTTCAAGAGATATATAATTTTTGCCACAACATAGCAAGTCACCAGGACAAATCCTCAGAGGATGTCCTGTTGACTAAAGCTCTCCTGCTTTTAAATCAGATACTGAGACTCAGTACAGAGAACATCCACTGGCACAGTATGGTGGAGTTTGGATTATCAACTGGAAACTTGTTCCTAACTCATCTTTGGAGTATGTAACATATTTATATTCAAAGGTTTCATAAGGAATGTTATGTGACAGGCCTGAAGTCTTCTCCAACCACAAGTTTACACTGACTGAGGATTAGCTGGTGATATTTGGACAGTTTGGCACAATCATATCTTGATTTCATTAACTGTACTTAATGAACATTTCAGAAAGCAAGTATTTAGGTTTGATATTTCCAGATAAAAAGACAAGTAGCTTTAGTGTATTCTCAGCGCTCGTCCACAGGGGGCAGTGTAGAGCCAGTGCAGCTCATGTGTTCTGCAGTAGTTTAACCTCATGTCTCACCTCTGATCTTCAGGACGAGCTTCACTAAATAAAGGAGGAAGGTTTCTGGACTCATCACTTTTCACAGACACAGAGCTGGGAGCAGGTTTAGATCTGAGTTTAGACCCGGGTCCAGGTCCAGGTGGGTCCATGTCATAGCTGCTGGAATCAGAAGAAGAGTCCATTTGAACAGAACATACAGAGATGTCTCCTCTTTAGAAGTTCTGTTCTCCAGATGTGGAGTTATGTGAAATGTGTCTCTGCTCTGCACCCAGAGGTCTGATGGGTCTGTGTCTCCCTCTGCTGGACACATGACAACATCACACTTCACTGGGTGTGGCCTTGTTTCAAATGTTCTTCTCTCTCAATAGTGTGAGTTTGGACCAGATCATGATTAAACCTGGAACATACAGATCAAAACAGAACTAAACTGACACTAAATCAAATAATTTCTAAGCAAATTTAACCTGATCTACAGCAGGACCCAAAAGAATAGCCACACAACTATACTTTTACTTGTGTACAAATACTCTTTCCTCTGCTGTTAGTGTAGTTTAAGATTAGATCAGGTTCAAATCAGGACCGATCAAAACAGAACTAAAGTAGGAATAAAGAAACACTTGGTCTGAAAACAACCATGTATAAAATAGGTCATCAGCACTAGGCCCCAAACACCACTAGGACTAAAGTCAGACTAAACTCGGTCCAAGGCAGAACTACTCAGCTCTGAACTGAAGCAAGAGCAAAGTCTACATCACTGTTTCAGTATTTTACATGTTAATAATTAGAAATACTCACTGCTTCACCGCGGTCTCAAACAGACCTCAACAGCACGTCTCAAACATTTTCAGTTTCAGTTGTGTGACGTAAGTGGTCCCTCCCTCTCACTGACAGAGACACTGAGCTCCAGCAGAGGGCGCCACTCTGCAGGTCTCTGAGGCAGCACACAGATAAATGTTTGAACAGTTTTATTGAAGAGAATTAACAGATCCTAATGATTTGTATTTTCCTCCTTTACCAAAACTGTATGATCTTATATGTAAAATCGACACGTTGCACATTGTGGATTGTATAGATTATTTTTTATATTTATTTTTGTTGCGCTTGTTAGATTATTTTGACTCTTCGGACATGCTTGAATCAGGCAAAGATACGTTTTGTCTTCTTTGTGTCTTTATTTTAACATATGCAACATAAAAAATAACAGCAGCAAGATCCCGCGTTTTTATCCAACAAGACAACGGAAGTGAACTAAAAAAAAAAACAAAAACATTCACAGTACAAAATAAAGTGCATAATAAAGTTAGAATAAAATAATATGAGAACACAAATCTAACAATTTTCATAAATATAAATAATAATAAATAAACTACATTTACTAAAAGCTAAATATGTATCTATGGAGAATAATTGTTTACTTCTTTTGGCAGATAATTCCTTATAGAAAATAAAAGTCTCCCCAAACCTGCTTCTTGTCTTCAAAAATAAATATCAATAACCAGTGTTGGGACAGTTACTTTTAAAATGTAATCCCCTACAGATTACAGATTACACACACCAAAATGTAGTTTGTAACGTAATCCATTAAATTACTTAAAGTGAGTAATGTAATCTGATTACTTTGGATTACTTGATTTGCTGTAGAGAAGCAAAGATGAGGAAATCTTCAAATAAGAAGTTTTGTCTGATAAAAGAAAATAAAAAGACTTTAGACGTTACTGAACCAAATTAAAAATATTATTGATAGAAGACGAGGAAACACGTCCACACAGCAGGATTTAGTCTTGTCTTAGACCTAGTTTAGACCTGGTTTTAGACCTGGTTTAGACCTGGTTTTAGCCCTGGTTTGGACCTGGTTTTAGACTTGGTTTTAGACCTGGTTTTAGACCTGGTGGTTTAGACCTGGTTTAGACCTGGTTTTAGACCTGGTTTTAGTCCTGGTTTAGTCCTGGTTTTAGACCTGGTTTGGACCTGGTTTTGGACCTGGTTTTAGTCCTGGTTTAGTCCTGGTTTTAGATCTGGTTTTAGACCTGGTTTTAGACCTAGTTTAGACCTGGTTTAGACCCGGTTTAGACCTGGTTTTAGCCCTGGTTTGGACCTGGTTTTAGTCCTGGTTTAGTCCTGGTTTTAGACCTGGTTTGGACCTGGTTTTAGTCCTGGTTTAGTGTCTGGCAATGAGTGGAATTACAGAAAAAATGTCCAAAATGTGAAAACAGGAAAATACTTCTGTGTAATCCATTAATTTTAACAAAGTAACTGTAATCCAATTACCACTCACTGAAACAGTAACTGTAACTGAATACAGTTACTCATAATTTGTACTCTGATTACATAACTCCGGTACATGTAATCTGTTACTCCACAACACTGTCAATAACCTTCTCCAGGTGACTTACACCTGTGATAAACCTAAGTTAACTTCCCATATTACACAAAATTGACTCTGAGCTTTTAGCCACGTTATAATGTTGTACCTCCTCAAAAACAGACCTGGAGTTTTGTGTTGTTTTGTTGTTTTGTTTTGCCGTGAAATCCTTATCAGGTTAATAATTAGAGGGATACTACAGTAAAATAATGAGGCACGTTTATTTGTTTAGAGCAGGTCGTAAACAAATGAATTCAAAGTGCTTTACATAATAAGAAATACATTATTGAAATAAACTGAACTGAACAATAATGTGAAACATATGTAAACCTAACTAGTGTTCATGAAGTTACTCAAGTTGTAAACGCAGTCATTTCGCTTGTCAGTGTCCGTTTGTCCCATGATTTTTAAATAGGGCCTAAGTCTTTTTGCTTGGAAAGTACAGGGCTGTAAAAAAAAGGGACATTTCCGTAACACCACGTGCTCTAACAGAATGTCTGATATCTCCTCTCTCTGTAAAAGTCCATATCCGGTGCCTTTGTGGTTTTCACACAGCGGCTCCTGTTCGACTTCAGTCACAAGCTGCATTCCAACGCGCTGATGTCACTGTGGAATTAAACGTAACTTCACTGTTTATAACATTTACACATAATACTCAGTGAACTGTCAAATTAGACGTTTTACTAAGAGAGATCAATGGAGATGAAGATCAGTGAGTGTGTTTACATGCGCTCGAGTGTTTGGTTGTGATCAGGTTTTTTGAGTATCCAGGTTTTGTGAATATCCATGTAGATGCAGTTTCCTGATTTCAGTATCCTGGATGAGGTAGTATCCCGGGTATGAGTAACCAGGAGACTCTCACTGGTTTTTTCAGAGAGTATCTAGAATACTTGGGATGGGCATGATTAGTTGATTAATCGATAATTGATCATTAAGAATTTCATTGATTATGTTCATTTTAATCGACAAACCGAATGTATGTTTGTGTGTGTCGTGACCAAACAGGTGTGTACATGTGTCTCTGCATCAGAAGGAGCGAGACACAAACAGTGGGTCAGTCTGTAACGAACTGAAGCACAAATGTGGATTTAACCAGGATTTGTACAAGAAATTCCACACTTTCCGTTGCGTTGGGACAAGTGTGAGTCCATGTGCACAGTGTATAAAGCAGCACATATGTTTCTGTGTCCAGTGGGAAAAGGTTTTTCCAGGTGAGAGTCGCTGAATGTGGATGACGAGGCCCCGCCCCCCTCCCCCCGTACGCTGTCCTGGTTTTGACAAACACAAATCTGGTCACACTAACCTGTATTCACCTGAGTCATGTCTTTTAATCCAACACAAGTTGAATCACATCAGCGACACAAGAGCTGGAGTTTATACAAATTAGCGATGCAGTTTTAAGTTTTGTTTCTGTGAGAGTTGTGCAAAACTGAATTAAACACATTATAATGTCAAACAGCTGATGTGGCTCTAGAATCGTTATGTTTATATGTCGTAAAGTTGAGTTTATTTATGCAGATTAGTGCAGATGATCATATTAATATAAAAACGTTAATGATGAATCGATAATCGATCGTTAATTCTTCCGACGATCGATTAAGAAAATTTCATCAAATGCCCATCCCTATAGGACACTGTGGCCTGTAGACGCAGTATCCTGATTTTTCACCATGGGAGCCGTACTGAGCATGTGCCAACTCAAGAAACAAATAATGTACGAGCAGTTACTTTCCCAAAACTGTTCTACTGTTTAATACAACCACATTTTAACCCCAGGGTCACCTCTCTGTCTTTGTTTGTGTACTTTTCAACTGTTAAAAACACCTTTTACTGAAGTTGTGGCAGAGCTTCACTGTTTCACTTTCTTACCTGAATGTTTGTCTTCTTTTTTGTTTTTAGAAACCTGTTAAAAAAGCCTTAAGTTAGTAAAGTTTTGACCATAGTTACCATAGAAACCAGTCTAAATATCCAGGATACTCTGATTCCTCAAGTGCACAGGGATAAGAGTGTCCTGGTTTCTCTGAGCACATGTGAACACCAGATCCAGAATAACCAGGATACGTCTCATAACCGGGATACGTTTCATAACTGGGATGAGACTCGTAACCGGGATAAGACTCACAACCGGATATGTCTCGTAACTGAGATACGTCTCGTAACCGGGATACGTACCATAACCGGGATGAGGATCATAACCGGGATTTTCTATGTAACTTATTTCAAAACAAGGTTGATCATTAATATTAAATGACTATTTGCTATTAAAACATATCGAATTCAGGGGAACTTTCTGGAGGCAGCACATCACCTGCATAATTCCATGGACATAGAAAGTTAAAGCCGTACTTCGCAACATTCTCCGTGGAGACAGATATGTTTTATGCCACACTGTGGAATATTACAGCCAAAGGAACAACATTTCCTGGGAAACAAGGCCTGATGCAGCGGCCTCAGTGATGGCAAACAGCGGCCTTCAAGAGTTAAGTAAGTCCAGTTGGTTTAGTTTAACTTGTTGATAATTGCCATGGCAACAAGCAGGCCAAATGTGAGTAAGGTCTGTGGAGATGCAAACCTGCTCACAGTAAGAACACGTGTTTTTTCAGAGCAAGAAACAGAAGAGAACAAAAGAAAAATGAAAAAACAAACAAACATACTTTTCTATTTTTAGTTTTTAGCTGAAAAGTTACACGTTGTGGCTTTAAAATGACGATAAATTCATGCTCTGAACTGTGAAAATTAAAGCTGTATCTCTGTAAATTCTAAAGTTTTACTGTAAGAAAGATTTCAACTTAATCCTTAAAACTGCAAACGAAAAAAAAAAAAAAAAAAAACTGCATGAAGTTATGAAAAATTTCAGACATGAGACCGAGCAGCAAGAGGTGGCGAAAGAAGCCATTTATTTGAAATTATGCAAAAGAATCGAAAACACGTCTGAATTCAAGCCAAAAGTAAAAGTTTCACATTGAAAAACACACAGCCACATGAGTCCAGCAGGATTCCAGCCAAAAGGATTCTCCGTAAACTTTTATGGATCTGAAATCTCCACATTTTCTTCTCCGCATCTCCACAGCGCGTCCATCCGTCCGCTTTATCCACAACCAAAAAGTCCAAAACCTTGAACCATTGCGACACAAACTTTTAAAGACAGACAAAAACAGAAAATTCAACACGTTTAAATCAAATATATACATTGTTCTTGTACAATTTTACACATGGGAACGTAGGGAACTCTATCTGTCAACCCGAGAGAGGTTTTATTATGCAGACGATACAGTGCAGCAGGTTAGCGCGCTTAGAGGAAGACATGGAAAGTTATGGAGCAGGAGCGCCAGGATAAAATTCATAAAAACTCTTTTATTAAAGCTCCTATATTACGCCAAACTGACTCTTCTGAGGTTTAAGTCCTGCTATAATGTTGTTACCTCCTGAAAAACAGACCTGGACCAGTGTTTTGTTTCCTTCACACACGTTTAAGTAATCATTTATTATTAGTTTTTACATCTCCAAAGCTCAAAATGCTCCGTTCCACCTTGTGATGTCATGAAGCGGTAGTTTCCAAGTTTACAGCTCCTTTTTTTTCAGTTCTGTAGAGATCAGTAAAGAAATTCCAGGGATGAAATGATCCAAATGATTCTACTGAAGGTGTGTGGAGCTTAAAAAAAAACAGTGGAGCGCTTCCTGTATTACCACATGATGACATCACAAGGTGTTTTTCCAGAAGAACTCGGCGTAAATCTGCCTGTTTGTGTGTTACAACATGTGTGAATGACTCAAAACACAACTCCAGGTTTGTTTGTGACAAGGAAACGACATTAGAACAGATCAGAAAATGGCGTAATATGAGTCCTTTTAAATTGAAATACCAAAATACCCAATAAAGTTTTGTTTTGCCGATCAAATATCCAAACAGTTGTAGCCTATATGAGCAGGGTGACCAGACGTCCCTATTTACCCAGGACAGTCCCAGTTTTGAGCCGTGCGTCCCCCGTCCCAGCAGATTTATCCAAAACCACTGATTTGTCCCAATTTTGAACAAGAAATGTTGATATTTTTGACCAGTTTGATCCCTGCCAACAGTAAACAGAAGCATAAATCGTCACTTGTTTTGGTAAAATGCAGAAAAGCCGCTTAAAAATGACCAAAACACAGAAAACGTGACTATACTGACTCACGTATTAGTCACGAATGGGCTGAGCGCGCAACAATTTTCCATAATTACACGCTCGTTTCACTGTTTTATTATTCCCAACCTCCCCAAACCGGGAGTGTCCCAGTTTCTAATTCTGAAAATCTGGTCACCCTATTATATTTGAGTAGTTTTTAAAAAATTATTTTTATCTTCACACCTTTTGGTATCGTTGGGTAACCGTACTTTCTTGCGTACAATTACCGATCTACCCAAATAAATGCGTCTAAAATTGTCCAAAGTCACATTTTCACCAACAAAATAAGCCTGGGGTTAGCGTCGGCGCACGACAAACGACTGTGCAAAATGGAGCTGTTTTTACATTTACAGACAGAGAAAGTGTAAAACGTTCACTAACAATATCCAGCTTCAAAATAATACGATCGTCTCCCAGTGTCCAGAGGTAAGAGGTTTGACTGGTATAAAGGATATTATTGTCTAAAGGTGTGGCCCTGTACTTCCTATGGCTTGTTTAGTATGGGACAATGTGAAATTTAGTGCGACGTATTCAACTTGTAATGGTTAAAAATGAAAAATACAAGATTTAAAAACATATAGAGATTGTTTTGACACATTGACACAGTAAAAAACAATGGAGGATGCCAGTGTTCCGTCTCATTCTCTGGTATTTTCATCGCAAATCGCCAAAAATCAAACCCACAAATGTCTTTTTCCCCCCCCTGATCATTTCTATCACATCCATTCTGGGAAGGGCATCTGACACACCAACAACATCAACATCAACATCTGCAGATTCACTAGAGACATTTGACCCGACTCTGGATTGTCCACGTGTAGTTTAACGTGTATTTTGAACGTCAAAAATTAGTTAAAAGAACCAAATACCTGAAGAAAATGAACTCAGGTCTGATATAAGCCAGTCTCTATCTAAAGCTGCACTGCGTAACTTTTCTGCTGGAAGATCTGCTCGTTCCTGGTCTCCATGGAGATGTTATTGCTTTGCCGGGAATGCGCCACGATAAAAACAAGCATGCAATGCCGCCAAGTTATGTTACAGGCCAGATCTGCGGAGAAGATCTTTGGCATTTTGACCATTAAAACCAAATTTAATTGACTGAATACAGGATAGATATGTTTAATGCTGTACTGTGGAATATTCCAGACAAAGCCCTAACTTCGGGCGGTGGACCGTCCCCCGGAAAGTTACACAGCGCGCCTTTATTATGCAACACTCGTTCAAGATTTCAATGTCTACAGCAGTTCCAGACCATTTTCACTCAAGACAGAGAGAGATCAGGAGTCTAACCCACAACCTCCTCACTGAGAGGAGGAGACGGGCTAACCACTCTGCCACCAACCAAACACGGACTGTATAAAGAAGTGAACTTAAGCAAGCGTTCGGCTCCAGTCAAACGCAGCTCATCGAGGCTAAAGGCGATAAGGGTAAATTTGGGCTGTGTCCGAATGTCCACTCCAATCTCTAGACCCTCGTTTACTACATAGGCCCGCACTCTTTAGCGCCCCCTACAGTTCACTCACTCACAAAGATTCGGACACGCAACGCACGACATTCGGGTCACGTGACTCTGGTGTCTGACAAAATGTCCAATAAACTCCAATAAAACTTGATTTCTGTCATAAATAATGATCAGATCAGACTGACACAAGTGTTTAAGGACTAATAAAAACCATATGAGTTTTTTTCACGCTGGATTTCACGTAAACGGATTGGATTATTCACTTTTTGTCTGAGATGCGGAAATGATCGCTCTTTTAACAGCTGGAGTTAAAGGCTCCATCTCGTGCAAAATCAACTTTTTCAACTTTTCTACCTTCTCAGAGTGATGTGTGGGACTTGTATTTGTCGCTAAAGTGGTTTTTAGATTGATTCTGTGTTTTTTTTTTTTTAACAAATTGCAGCGTATTTCTGCCACCCTCCCACGTGACAACGAACTAAAGCTGCTACAACGATGACGCGGCAGATACACCTATGACACGTTTGCCTTCACCGCCTCCGCCCCGACTCCTCCCCCGCATCGTCTGACAATTCCCACATGAACATCTATACAAAAGCGACAGGATAAACTCATTGTTCTTTACCAATCAGTAATGTTCAGCTGATGTGGATGTGGCGCTTGAGCTTCGTGCTCCTCAAAGTCCTCGTCTGATTCCGGGTCCAACACATGCAGCTGAACGCGCTGTATCTCCATGATGAATAAAAGTTTATTCCTGCCGCTATCAGGGTCACGTCTGTCTCCCCCTCCCTCCCTGAGATGGCGGAGGAAGGGCGGCTCACTCAGAGCCTACGTCACGTTTGGAGGGCGGAGCCTGTGCTTTCTCAGGACGGGCGGGGGGAGGAGCAATAGTCGGACTTTCATAGTTCCTGGTCTGTGACTGACTCCAAGAAATCAGTAAGATTTCAGAACTATTGTGTCATGGATGTTCCAAAACCCAAACTGTGCTTGTTTATGTGCAGAAGATACAACATGAAAAGAGTTATTTTACATGAGATGGGCCCTTTAAGGTAAGCGGTTTATTTAGTCGTGTTTTATTCAGAATCAGGATCTACAGAGCCATAAACAAACGCTTTTATCGGCTTCATTCAGTCGTGTGTTTGGTTAAACACCTGTCACTGTACGCCGTTGTTTTGCCGACTCTCCCAGTGCATTGTGGTCTACATCGACGCTCTAGTGGCACCGATGCCCACTACTTTTCAAGGTGCATTGTGAGAAATTTTGCGTGCGCTACTTTTTCACCAACTGGACATTCGGACGCCCCTGAAAATGCCGTTATCCCTGAATATTTGGACACAGCCTTGGAGCCCACTTTCATAATCGGAATTCTGAGCGCGAGTATCACAGCAACCAAAGAGCCAATCAGGAGCGAGGCTGTCGGGAAAAGAAGGCACCTCATTTGTCTGTTATTAATGTTCATATTTTGAAAAAAAAAAAAAAGTGAAATTAAACCTCCTGGATCATGTAGAGCGCATTAATACGAACATTTTAAGAGAGAGAGGTGACGTTTTTTCAATATAAAGTGAACTGGAGCCAGAGCCGATGGAGCAGGAAGCGCGCCCATGCTCACTTCCCACTTCGCTACACAGTCTATGCATCAAACCCACCGCAAGATTGTATTAAAACGTCCCTTAATCCGTTCTCCAACCATTTTAAGCGTTTAAAAAAAGATCCTTAACAGCAATTGTGATTTCCAAGAGAGAAAAAAAAAAAAAACAGCAGAGGATTGTAATCTGATTTGTCTAAAATAAATACGATTTTCTCGACACAAACAGAGACAAATGCGTTGCTCGTGGGCACAGCGGTTTGAAACAGCAGTCTGGGCTCCGGCGACGCAACGGTGAATACGAGGAGGAGATTTTATTTGACAGATAGAGTTCAGTTTGTTCTGAAGATGTGGGAGCGGTCTTCAAAAGCCGCACCGTGTAACTTTTCCGGTCGGGCGGTCCGTCAAAATGCTCGTCTCCGTGGATACGTCATCGCTCTGCCTGGAATGTTCCGCAGCGTAACATTAAGCAGCTTTACTTTACGTTTACTCAATTGCACGTGGTTTTATAGCTCAAAAATACCGAGAATACCGTGAAACATTCCAGACGAAGCCATATCGTCTCCGTGGAGAAAAGCGTTTGACAAACCCTCCGCCGGGAAAGTTCCACGGTGCAACTTTAGCAGTAGAACATGAGTGGGGCCTTTAACACAGCGGACATGACTCTGGGGCTTCAACACGAGGAATCCACAGAAATATAACACAAACTAGAATCGCCGTATTAGAAAATGCATAAGTCCAGAACGCAGGGATATCGGCGCCGATCCGTGAACGTTTGCTGGATCGGAATCGGCTCCAAAATATCTTTTCTGCCGTTACCCTGGTCAGGCCCATAAATTCGTGTATTGCTGGTCATAGTTCGTCCAGAAAGTCTCAGAATGTTTGAGTTTTTAATACAAAGGTGTTCCGAGAGGTAAATAAGAGCTACATCACACATTCTGTCGTACAATATTTCGAGTTTTTAGGACAGTAAAGTTTATTTTTAGTCCCTGCACTGGTATCTGTAGATATCGGATATCGGCAGATACTTAAAGCCATGGTATCGGAATCGGTATCGGAATGGAAAACGCTGGATAAGTGCATAACAAATATTGGCTGATGAACTGGAATGACGTCATCCATTTGACAGTTTTGATCTAAATTGGGCCCAAAAAATAAAAATAAATCTCTTGTAGAAATGTAAATATTTAAGTCGTGATCTTGTTGCCAGGTAAATCTAGATTTTTTATAATTTCTTTTTAAATAAAGATTGATATCAGTCTGGTTCACATGACTTTGTTGATCGTAAAATCAGATTTGTTTATTTCAGTGACGCGTGTGAACCGAAGGAGCTCATTGGTCGCCATCAGTTAAAAAAAACAAAAACATTTCTCTCCCTTAGATTCACAGTTTAGTGCATCTCTTATTGATTCTACAAAAATCCTTCAAGTTTTTCAATCCCTCGTGTTATTATTTTGTTTTTTAGGGACAAAGAAAGAAAAGACATATTTGTTTTGATGCTGACGGGCCAGACTTGTCCCGGATTGGCTAATCCACCTGTCAATCACGACCATCTGAACCAGACTTACACCTTTAGAAAGTATTGAAGAAGTGTGAATTCCAGATCCAAGGCAACAGATCTTCAAAATTTTGCCTTTTGCAACAATCGTTTCCAAATTAGATTGGCAAAAATTAAAAAATAAATAACTTGACTGAGACTAAAACTAATCACAAGACAAAAAATGAAAATATTCTTATTTCTGGTCCTCACGTTATAGTTTTGCAAAACTTTGACCAGCAAATAATTTAGAATATTTTTTTTTTAAACTGAATTGTCAAAAATTTAAATTAAAACGTCAAATATTCTCACCAGCACGTTTACTCACAGCCCGATCTTTAAGAAAATATTAAGAAAAGCAAAGTTCCCAACCTTCAGTTCCCTTTGGCTGCATCTTACAGTTACAATAATACAAATTTTTATCTGTTTTATAATAATTTACGCTATGAAAAATGCTGAAATGGTATAAAATGTAGAAATAACTTGATGGACACTAACAGTCTGCGTCAGCTACAGTTTCACCGTATGAAAAGTGGAATTATAAAAAAGATGAAGGGGAAATGTTAAAATATTCATATAAATGTACATATTTTTTGGCAAAGTGAGAGGGTTTGGGGCCTGCACAGTGATTAAACGATCACAGTAGTTTAATTTTCATTTCTTTACGCTGGCTGCACTGAAATGGAGCAAAGCATCATGGTCTATGTAGTCCTCACTGCAGAAACTAAACAAAAGATTGAGTTTTACGGCAAGACTATTATTTTAGCAGTCAGCGATTGATTTTTCCATTAGTCCACTATTCAAATTATTATTTTTATTGTACATTGACACTTTTAAACTGTATAACGAATGGCTGCAGGTTGAAATGTGTCATACCTGTTGCTATAGTGTTGTCAGGCGCAGAGCAGTGATACAGAACAGTGATTTGACGGTTGCTGGAACTACTTAACGCTTTTCTCGCTGACCGTGGTATAAAATACATTGAAAATTGGTGACTGAAAGCTTTTAGTATTTATAGAATATTTACGAATAAACCCTATTGATGAAAATGAGAAATGGTTCTATTCGTTTTGGACATTTTTATTTAATAATGCTGCTGGTTTTGTTATAAAAGGTCTTTTAATTTCTGTTTAGAGTCTTTAATACCCTGATAACGTTTTCAGTGATCAAAAAATACAGCTACGATTATTTTTATTATAGTCGACTGGTCACAATTAATCGATTACCGTTCATAATAATATTGTGGGACTTTTGGAACTGCAGTTTCACAATGACAAAGATCCTACATGATGCAAAACGGACTCTTGTGAGGTTTAAATCATGTTATAATGTTGTTACCTCCTCAAAAACAGACCAGGACTTGTGTTTTGTTTCATTCACACGTTTGAATAACTCTTTAGTGGGCCTGGTCAAGCAGAAGTAAACACCAAGGCCAAAAGTTCAAGTTAATTCATCTGATATAAAAATGTATTGAACAGATACATATGTGCTCTAGTTTATGAAACTGTTGACCTTTTTTCTGGACCATTTTTGGTTCTAAAGTTCCATATGTTTTAAACAGACCATGTATGAAACATGGAACAAAAATTATTTCCCAAATTTCAAAGACCCAAAAATCATGTAAATAAATGGATGTATTTCATCATATCTTGTGTTATTCCATCTTTGAACTGTTGATGAAGGGACAGGATTAAAAAAAAAAAGTATTTAAAATGAAATAAATAAAAATTTGCTTGGAAGGACTGACATATTTTATAGAAATAGTTTCCTTTCATTTTGAAGTAATATTAAAATATTCAGAAGAAAAAAGCGACAAATGATGTAAAATCCTGCACCTTCTACTTGTTTGTACAATTTTCCCTCCGTTACTTTTCCCTCCGTTACCATGACCTTTCTTAATAAAAAATCTCATGAGTCAAAAAGTAAGAGGTTTTTCAACCTAATCTTGTACCATATGGTAGAAAACTATATGAAGCAAATATTCAAACCAGTTTGTTAAGGATATGTAAGTGAGAACCAAGAGTTATCACTGTTTGGATTTATTGCCCAAAAAGTGCTGCATATTTCATTCCCTCCGTTACCGACATGAGTTTTTTAAATTTTTTGTCGACAACTTGAAAGAATATCACAGGTTTAACTTGACCCTGTTGGAGTGTAACTCTTTCCTACATTCTGATACTTTACTTATTTCAATAGTCCCTCTAGTTTCTGAATAAGACACATTTGAATGTAAAATATCTGCTCCTGTTTCCCTCCGGTACTGCTTGACCAGACCCTATTATTAGTCTGTCTTCATCTCCAAAGGTCAAAATGCCCACCTTGTGATGTCACGAAGCGGTTGTTTTTTTTTTTTTTTTTTTTTCAGGTTAACAGCTCCTTTTAGATTTAGTTCAGTCGAGATTGGCGATTGCAGGTTTGAAATTATCCAAATGATTCCAGTACATATGCAGCGTTTGTGTTTTAAAAATGTGTGAATGAAACAAAACACAACTCCAGGTCCGTTTGCGATGAGAAAACTACATTAAAACATCAGAAAATAGCGTAAAATGAACCTTTTAAACTGAACTCTGCCCACTATGAAACGTAAATATCTGTAACTTTATCTGTAAATTTAATCGTCTCGCCGACCATTCGCTGTGTACGATTTGGCATTTTATAATAAAGTCATAAAGCCCACACCCCTCTCCAGTTCAAATGTACGTTCGCGCAACACGTTCGACAATACTGATAAGAAAAAATGAGGAAAGCTTGAAATAAAAACGTGTATATCTTCACTCAGTTCAAGTCGAAATGTCCACTGTTTTAAAGGCCCGGTCCACAGATGTGTTACAAAAAACTGGATGGAGAAACACTCTTGTATCAACGCTTTAAGCAATTAGAAAAGCTTTGTTGATATTTTTTGGACAAATGTGTAGGTTAAATTCTGATAATTTCCGAAAAATTTTAATCTTTAAGGGGCGTTGTACGTCTGGTTTAGTCCATTTATTGCACTTCTCCTCACAAATCTCAGATATTTAGACAACGCCATTAAACAAAACGGGTTAGTGGCTTGAATGAAAGTCAAAAATTCTCACTTTTTTCATTTCCTTCTATGGAGACGTCATTGCTCTGCCTGGAATGTTCCACAGTGTGACTTTAAACGGCTCTACTTTAACGTTTATTCGATCACGGGTGGTTTTACAGCTCGAAAACAGGCGTTCTGACTGTGAGCGGGGGTCGCCTCTCCGCAGATCTGACCTGTGACTTGGTCTGGTGTCCGCGAAGATCGAAAGGTTTAATGCCGCACTGCGAAACATTCTAGACAAACCAGAAAAGTTGTTTAGTTCTTTTCAGGTCAAGGGGTCGAGCTTCTACTTGTCGCCATGGACATGTTTCTGCTTTGCCTAGAATGTCCCGGTGTGGCATTAAAACCTCTGAGTGACTCACCTCTCCACAGACCTGACCTGTAGCTTGGTCCGGTTTTGGTCCCTGTGAAGGTTGAAAGTTTTAATGCCGCACTGCGAAACATTTCCAGACAAAGCAATAATGGAGAAAAGCATCTGACAGAGCCTCCACCAGAAAAGTTACGCAGTTCTTTTCAGGTGAAGGGTCCGACTCCAACATCTCCATGGAGACAAGGAATAAAAATGGCCCAGAATGTCCCGGTGTGGCATTAAACGTATCCATCGTGCATTTACTCAATAATAATGGGTTTCTGTTGACTTAAAATCTTGCATTCTGAGTGTGAGTGGACTCGCCTTTCCACAGAGCTGGCCTGTAACTTGGCCCTACAGAGTTACCTGTTGTCTCTGTGGTGTAAAGACATACTGTGGAACATTCCAGGCAACATCTCCATGGAGAGAAGCCGGTGATGGACCCCAACCCCCGAAGAATTTATGTTTTTGGTTGTAATATTTGGATTTTTCAAGGCTGGTTCTCCACAAATCTGAGACCAAAATTTTAAAATATGTTTTGATTTGAAAATACCGAGCTTCCATCCAGTTCTCGAACGCATCTCTGGTTTGAATCATGTTTTGAAGAGACAAACTATGTAACAATCATAGTGCATTTGACTCTTGTTCTTTATAGTTGAGTTCAATTGTCCAAAACGATTCGGCGAAAGTTTTCATTTCACATTTTACCTTCGCCCAGACTTGAAATTTTCTCTTAAAATTTTGTTCTTCAGCTTTTTTTTCCTTCACGTGTTTTATAGTTTTTGATCGGTCAGCAGTCTTTCTCCTTCCGTTCCTACTTGTGCAACTTCGAAATCGTCCCAGCTCCAGCCATTGCATAATCGTCTTTCAAACGTGCGACACTTTTTGGCTCTCCTTCGCTTGCTTGATGCTATACAACCATTTGATGACCCTCGCGTTCCGCTCCACCGCCGAAATCCCGTACGGAACCCTTTCCCCGGCCTCCTCCTCCTCCTCCTCGTCATCCGCGTCCGAGAGCCCGTCGTTCGAAGACCTCCTCGACTGATCGCAATCGGACGAAATCATAGACGCCGATTTGAAATTCAGCGAAACGATGTCGGAGTTCGCCCGGGCAAAGTTCTCCGGACCGACCGACTCCAGCTCTTCGGGGTCCAGGCCGCAGTAGTTGAAAAAGCGTTCCACGTCGGCGCCGGCTCGGGCGTAGCGGTCTGATAAATCCGATTTGGAGCGATGTAGCGATGAGCGCCGCGTGACCGCAGATTCATTGTTGCCGTCGGCGTTTGAGGAGTCGGGGAGGTCGCAGGGGAGCGACTGGGGAGTGGTGTTGTCGTAGGGTAAAGGCGACTGCATGGGGCGCGGCGGAGGTAAAGAGAGGGAGAGTGCGGGCGGAGGGAGCGACGCCGGGTTGGGTTTGGGGGGGATAGGGGGCGCCGACGAGCTGCTGGAGCGAGCGGCGCGGAGAGGTTTCCCATTGCAAAGTCTGAGCAGGTCTGAGGAGGAGTGCGAGGTGAGGAGCGGAGGGAGAGGAGAGCAGGAGCGTTCGGGGACGGTGGAGTCGGCGCGGCGGCGGCTCAGGTTCAGGTTGGCGCCCAGCTGAGGGCTGCAGCGCCCACTGCTGGTGATGGGCAGGACTTTGAGCGAGTGGGAGAAGGAGCGCAGGGAGTGGGAGGTGCCCGGGCTCGGAGCGGAGTCTGAGGCGGGCTCGTTCAGCGTCATGGTGGATCTGTACGTCAGCGGCATCCTGTAGAGAGAGAGAGAGAAAGACGGAGGGGAGAAAAAAAGAGAGAGCATGGGATAGAAAGATGAGAAAGAGAGGTGGAGGATGAGAGAGAAGGTGAGAAGGATGGGAGAAAGAGAGAGAGAAGGGGAGAGAAGAAAAGAAAAGGGGGAGTGGCAAAAGAGCAGAGAAAAAAAGAGTGATTTTTTTTTTATTATTGCAAATTTTTTATTAACTTTAAATACATTTGTTTCTTAAAAGCACATTTAAAGGTTGAATAGAGGATTTTTTAAGGGAAAAGAAATACAGTGACAGAACTTTTTCAAATGTTGTGTTGTGTGACACCACCTTCCTCCTCCACAGCCTCAGTAGAAACATCTCCTCCCGCCTCTTTACTCTAGAAATCACACTTGTTTACAGCCGCTGCGCATTCCGAATTACTGTTGAAGTGAACTGTCTAGAAATAATTCAACTACCGACGTGTCAGTTTTTAGACCCTTCGTCTGCTTCATTCGCGCCATCGCTGGAAGGAATCTCCAAGAATCACCTCAGTTTGTCTTCGCTCCTTTTCTCCTTCTCTTCTTCTTTCAGCGACCTCAAAACGGACTTTCTTTTGCGGCGAACTGGTCATGGATTCTCGTCCAACATCACAACAAACTTTGTGCGAACTGCAAGGAAGCTACAGTTTTAAAAAAGCCTCTAAGAACCACTGCATAAACCACGAAATCCTCACGCGCCGACGAGTCAGTTACACTAGAAACGTAGAGAGTTTGATTGACAACCGAACAGCCAATAGATAAAGAGAGAGCCTCGTTTTCTATTGGTTGATGTTTATCTGCCCTCACTATGTCCACAGTTGATAGATTTTCAGTTTTTTTTTTTTTTGGTCGTCAATTACAAAGCTGCTGCGTCTCTGTAATGGTATTTTAAACTTTCACTGACAATTTGAAACTAAAAAAAAAAAAATCCTCCATACAACCGTTAATCACCAATCACAAAGACTGAAGTCTGTCTGCAGTTCACTGAGCCTTGGTTGATGCGCATAATGTTGCATAACTGAGAATTTTTCATAACAAAAAACATTTAGGGCATAAAGGAAGTCCACTGTTCTCCCTTAAAGTTTGTATGGAGAATTTTTTTTTAGTTTCAAGTTGTCAATGAAAGTTTAAAATACCATTACAGAGACGCAGCAGCTTTGTAATTATGACCAAAAAAATAATAATAACAATGAAAATCTATCAACTGTGGACATGTTGAGGCCAGATAAACATCAGCCAATAGAAAACAAGGCTCCCTCATTTTCTATTGGCTGTTGGGTTGTTGATCAAACTCCCTACGTTTCTAGTGTAACTCACTCACTGGCATTTCGTGGTTTATATACAGCGGTTCTTAGAGGCTTTTTTAAACTGTAGCTTCCTCACATTTCACACAAAGTTTGTCGCGACGGTGGACGAGAATCCACGACCAGTTCGCCGCAAAAGAAAGTTCGTTTTTGAGATCGCTGAAAGAAGAAGAGAAGGGGAAAAGGAGTGAAGCCAAACTCAGGTGATTCTTGAAGATCTCGAAGCAGACGAAGGGGCTAAAAATTGACGCATCGGTCGCTAAATCATTTCTAGACAGGTCACTTCAACAGTAATTCTGAACTGGCTGTAAACAAGTGTGATTTCTAGAGTAAAGAGGCGGGAGGAGGTGTTTCTACTGAGGCTGTGGAGGAGGAAGGTGGTGTCATACATGCACAACATTTGAAAAAGGACTGTCGCTGTATTTCTTTTCCCTTAAAAAACCCTCTATACAACCTTTAAGGCTGTTGTGCTGTTAGAATGCTAGTTGTTGTAAACAGTGGGGATAGCACAGAACTTGTGAAAAGTGTTTAGAAACTCATCATGGTGAACAATTAGGATGCTCTGAATGTAAATGAGGAAGAAAGCAAATTGTTTAAAATGAACTACTTCTATTTTTCATGATTTTAAGAAGGTAAAAATAATCTTTCACATCTTTCATATTACCACATTAAAACGATATTCGATATGATATTGAATCGTTCGATATTGGTCTCACGATTCAATACATGTGTTTGGTCGATACAGACGTGTCCCTCCAGGCCTCTGTGTTGTCTTTTTTTTTTAGTCCTAAAGGAAAACATTTATCACAGCTGATGATCAGATGCAGCAGAAAACAGCTCCATAGAGACTTACAGCTGAAATATTCTAACAGAGCAGGGTTTTATCTCTAAGTCACTTTATTTTACATGGATAGACCCAGGAATGACAAAGATATGAACTTTTAAATACTTTAAAGACGACGGGAAGCCAAAAACAATTCTAATCAAATGCAGGTGACGTGACTCATGATATACACAAGCTTTTTCTCACACTCTGTCTCTTAAGTTTTACTCAGAAAACGGTCTGTTGAGACATTTCTACGTAATATAATATAGTTTGAGTGTTCAGAAAGAGGATGTTAGAGCTCAGTGTGTCCGACTGTACCAGGGCAGTGGGGGAGGAGCTACGTACTGTCTTTGCTAGAGGGAACAGAACAGTGAGGAGAAAAAATCATCGAATCATCATCAAAAAAGGAAAAGTGTGATAGTGTAGCTCTCCTATAGTCTGTGTGAAGAGTAGACTAGCTGCTCGGTAATTCAAATATTCTGAAAAGAGGAAAATGTTTGACAGAAATATTCAGTGTAAAGATTCCTATGTGTGCAAAACTGTGTATATTATATTGGGAATATATCCAGAAGGTTTATTACAGACAAAAAAAACAAACAAAATGACTGGACTTTGGACTGGAAAAACATTGAAGCCCCCTAAACAAAACAGTGGGTTAAGGAAATTTCAGAATGTGTCGGCCTTGAAAGACTGACATTTATAGCAAAGGGAAAACTAAAAGACTTTGTGAAATTATGGGAACCTTATTTAAATATTATATCCAAAAATAGAAATATAATATTGTTATTGTTATTGTTCAACATTGCTGGTGATGATGATAACAATGATAATACTTAATTTATATTATTTTTTTTAATCATTTTTATTATTTTTATTATGAATTTACCTATTTTACTTTATTTAATTCTTTAAACAATTAATTTATATTTTATTATTCTTCTATTTATTTATTTTCTACATTTTTTTTTTTGATCACTGAATATAAATCTCGGACTTACCTGCGACTGACAAATTGTATTGTGCAAATATTGTTTAGTGAATATGTGAATGTGTATGAGTGTGAGTGTGTGAATTGGCTTATCGTTAATATTATTGTCATTATTATTATTTTATTTTATTTTTTTCGGTTATATGTTGACCTGTATTAACAATTGTCCATGTGATTTTTTTTGTCTGAAAATTAATAAAAATATTGGGGAAAAAAAAAAAAGTAGGCTGGCATATTATAAAATATAAACTAGACTGAGAAACGCTGTTCTTATTCTCACTGAATAAAAATTATGTAAATCACTGAACCAAATCAACTAAAACACTTGACATATAAACTGTACAGTAGTTCTGCTGTAGTGTGTAGTGTGTTGTGTGTTTCATTAACATCATATTATTATATTATATTCATCAGAAAACGAATCGGTATCGTGACTCGTGTATCGAGATTCGTCTCAAATCGTGAGAAAACTGTATCGTTGCATCCTTAATTAAAACACACGTAAACACACTCGAGTCCCTGTCCCTTACCCAGACGGGGTCCAGCTGCGCGCCATTCCCCCGGACGACCTCAGCACGGCGCTCTTGGCTCCTCCGCCAAAGCCCTCCGCCCCGGGCCCAGAGTTCAGCAGGTTCTTGAGGATCTCCAGGTTGAGGTTGTCTCTTTTGGTCCCTCCTTTGGGGCAGTGCTCGGGTTTGGAGTTGTTGTTGGAGGCTTTGAAGGGCAGAGCTCCCCCGGCACCCCCTCCTGGCCCCCCCCTCTCTCTGCGGGACAGGAGCGCCGCCGTGGGCTTGGCCAGCACCGGCGGTTTGATGGGCTCCTGTTTGGCGTTGATGACCTCCTGGCTCTTGACATACTTGGCTTTATCCGCCTCCAGACGCTCCACCGCACTCAGGCGCTTCGGGTTCGGCTCCACCTGGAAACAAAATATTACAAGACAGTTAAAGGCGCACTGTGTAACTTTTTGGTTAGGCATCCGTCACCTGAGATGTTGTTGCTCTGTCGGGAATGTTCCATAGTGTGACATTAAACAGGTCTATTTTACATTTATTCAATTACAGGTGGGTTTATTGCTCAAAAGTAACTAGAAAAACAGACATTCTGACTGTAAGTTGGGTCGCCTCTCCACAGATCTGACCTATAACTAGGGCTGGGTATCAGTAAGAAGTTGTCAATATGCTTTGTACAAGTTCACACTTTTCATGAACTACTTCAAAGTTCAGTTCACACATATTCAAAGTGAACAGTTCACGTCCATAGTTCACAATTTTAATTTTGAACTAGTTCAAAGTTCAGTTCATTTTATTTTTAGGTGAGATTTGTAAATGAAAGGCTGAACTTATTTTTCAAACTGACTTCCAGTTTACAACAACTTTACAGCATATAAACTATAAACACTCTAGAGCCACATTAGCCTGTTAGACATTATAATGTGTTTAATGTGTAACTTGGACATATTTGTTTACGTCTTACAGAAATGAAACTTAAAACCGCACGGCTAATTTGCATAAACTGCGCATCAGTTTCTGTTGAACTAAAGGACACAACTATATGTGTTCTTTCTGTGACAGAGGGACGTCACTGCAACTTTTGGACGTGTAATTTGTAGAATGAAAGTGATGAGGGCGGCTCCACTGCACACGCTAAACGCACGTATGTAGCAGCGCGTCCTGCACGCAGAGATTTCCAAAAATGGGATCCATCCTATTTTTTCACACTCTACCTGAGCGTAGGTGCATTGTATTTGTGCATTTACCATTTGCACAATGTGCTCCCAGAGCAGTTCTGTGTCGTGTGAAAGAGCTCAGGTCCAGAACGACTGTTCATTAATGTTTTCCCATTGAGAGACACAGAGCCAGAGCCAGAGCCGCGCCATCGCGAAGCCACAGCCGCATGTCAACGCAAAGGCGACTTTACCGGCAGCTGCAGCAGGACGTACACACGCTGCACTGCTCTGTGTTTGTCAATGGGAAAGACGATCAAACTTGACTGGGAGAGTTTAGCCTCTTGTATCAAGTCTACAGTGGAACTAAAAAGTGTGAGCAGACCTTGACACGCGACTCATCAGGTGAAAACAAATTCCGATGTTTAATTGACCCCAACAGTGACGTACGTCGTTCATCTCATATAATCTGAACAAATTCACTTCAAGTTCTTGATTTACAAATGTGTTGCGTTCAGTTCAAAGTTCACTGAAAAATGAACGTGTTCAATGAATGTGTTCTTTTGAACTCATTCATGCACAACACTGGTTATTGGGCGCGCTGCTCAATAGTCCAGAAAATGCAGTAGTCAAACATGCACGGATGACATCTAAAAGTTGTGTTCTAAAAGTTCTAAATAGGCAAGTTTTGATGAGGAAACAACTTTAACATAGTAGTCAAAACCAGAAAAGTACATTTTGCATAACCCCTGTTTAAATAAAAGTGTCCTGTCCCTTCGTACCGTTCTCCTGAAATAGTCGGGCCCTTTGTTGAGAATCCGCAGCGGCACAGAGGCGCCGAACGGGGGGGCGGGGCCTGGAGCCTTGTTATCTGCCAGAGAGGGCGGGGCCAGAGTCTCCGTGGGCATGGCAACCAGGTGAGCGGGCGGGGCAGCCGTGGTGCAGGTGGGGGGGTCCAGCGAGGGCGGGGGCACCGGGGGGCCCCCAAAACATGAAGACTGAAGAGGAGAGAGAGACTGACGCGAAATCTGCACTTTACATGGCCCAAGGGAACACCTGGGGGAGCTACGACGCCTTAAATGATATGTTAACGATTTTTTCTAGAGGCTATTTTAACTATAAATATTATAAAAATTAAAAGCAAACAGTGATAAATTTTAAAGAAATATAATCATGTAAGTTTCCAATTTTTTTAAACTCTTTTTTTACCTCTTAAAAATATTAAACAAGACCAGTAATCTAGTCTTGTATCTATCTTAAATTTGACTTTTTAATCTGAATTGGCTGGTTGTTTCAGAATTTAAACTTTTATAATAAACTTTCTATTAAAAAAAAAAATGAAACTGTTAAAAATATAATTCTTTTCTTAAATAATTTCACAACAGAAAGATACAATTTTTAAGTTTTGAAGCCAAATTTCACGTAACTTTTCTAAAAAATGAGCCACTAAAAATTTGGACAGCTTGTTTTCATATGTAGATTTTGATTTTTAAAACGATATTATAGACTCACAAAAAGGAAATTGTCAATAGGGAAGTTTTATATTTTGACCTTTATATTACACACACACTAAAGTCTGATTTATGGGGCCTATGTTATAATAAGTATAAGTATTTTAAATTGTAAATATTTAGAAGCGTCCAGTGCAAAGTGGAAGATGTTTTTGAATAAGGCACAAAAGAAACGGACTCTCTCCTCCGCAGCTCAGATCTGCACCTGAAACAGAGAAGAGAGGAACAGCCAATCAGAAGAGAGAACCGCGATGACATCACAGGCCCAGCAACGACACAGAAACAACAAAACGAAGCATAAAAAAATATAACGGGACAGAATGCAGTAAAAGTACTAGCTATCGTAGTAGCTGAAGATGATCTTGCTGTAGTTATAGTTGTAGTAGTAGCTTTTGTTGTAGTAATAGTAGTAGTAGTAGTAGTAGGTGGTAGTAAGTGGTAGTAGTGGTAGTAGTAGCAAGAGCAAAAGCAGAGGAGGTAGTAGGAGTAGTTTTTGTAGTAGTAGTGGTTTTTGTAACAGCAGTAGTAGTAGTAGTAGTAGTTTTTGTAGTAGTAGTAGTAGTAGTTTCTGTTGTAGTAGTAGTTTTAGTTGTAGTTTTTGTAGTAGTAGTAGTAGTAGTTTTTGTTGTAGTTTTTGTAGTAGTAGTATTTTTGTTAGTAGTTTTTGTAGTAGTAGTAGTTTTAGTTGTAGTTTTTGTAGTAGTAGTAGTTTTAGTTGTAGTTTTTGTAGTAGTAGTAGTTTTAGTTGTAATTTTTGTAGTAGTAGTAGTTTTAGTTGTAGTAGTAGTAGTTTTAGTTGTATTAGTAGTAGTAGGAGCAAAAGCAGAGGAGGTAGAAGTAGTAGCTGTTGTTGTTGTAGATGTAGTAGTAGTAGTAGTAGTAGTAGTAGTAGTGGTAGCAGTAGCTGTAGTACTAGTACTAGTAGTAGTAGTAGTAGTAGTAGTCCTTGTAATACTAGTAGCAACAGTAGCAGGAACAAATCGGAAAATCAGAATAAATCACCCACTTACTTCTGAATTAAGTTTAATTCCGAATAATTATTTTCAAGTGTTTAGATGGTCTTTTTTATAAGCTGAATTCATTTTTATCCACAATTAAATGATTTTTATTCGGAATTAAAGCTCAGAAAATTCAGTCGGAGCCAGAGCGGATGGAGCCGGAAGCTCCCCATGCACACTTCCTGTTAGCAGAGCTCTGTCCATTTCTATAAACAGTGTGTGTGTGTGTAATATATTCTAACTGTAACTGTTCTTATAAAACCTTTAATTATCCAGAATTCCGTGCGTTTTTGAAATAATTATAATGTTTTCATTGAATTTCACCGTCCACAAAAGGACACACACACGCAGAGACTAAATAAAGCCTGTGGTCGGCCGTGTGTAATTGTGCTGTAATAAAACGGGGACATGACGACGTCCAAGGCGATTATTAGCACCCGGACACGTGCGCGTTTAAGACTTTAAGTTTGGAGGGAGTATTATACCGTAGGAGGCGCAGCTGTGTCCATGTTTAAAGAGTGTAAGCGAAAAGATGAGTCACGAACCACAACATCCAGACTTAGGGCTGACTCCACAAATATCACACACGCTCAGAGGAGTGCGCCAGGAAAATCACAACCAGGAAAAACACAACCGGGGCTCAGCCGGGTCAACTTTTCCATTACAGAGAGTTTTACAGAGTGAGAAGAAGTGTCCACGGAGAATCCTCTGCTCCTCCTGATCCTCTACGCCAGGGGTGTTCACACTTTTTCATCATGTGAGCTACTTACAAAATGACCAAGTCAAAATGATCGACCTAATACAAAGTCAAACAAACTGCACTGAAACACTCTGTGGCCCTTTTTTGGACCCTCACCCACAGTTTGAGAACCTCTTCTTTAAGAGAACTTCCTCTGGCACTTTACACAAAACTGTGAAAAAGTGAAGAAAGATTTTTAAACCTGTTTTTTAAAGTTCCAAACTGGAGTTACATTCTTTTCTGGTTTTGCAGTGATATTTACCAGCCTCTGCACGTTTACCAAACCAAACACACATCGTGACAAACACAGATGCATTTGTGCACTTTTGTTAGACAAACTTCAGCCAAATGTGGCAGTAGGTCTGCTCAGTAGATCCGCTCTATGCTGTAGACCTGCTTTGTGTCAACACTGGAACACAAATTTAGACTGGTTTTTGCTTCACGTTTGGTCTTGTTCTTCTAATCAGCCGCACTGTGGGAGGGGCTTGTGTTCGCTGTACGCAGGAAGGAGCGAGAGCGTGAAAAGGTGAGGGGCGGCGTGCTGACGTGAGGCAGGTGGACAGGTAGGATGTTTAGGAAGTTGAACCTGCCCTGTGATGCACGCTGGTACACGAGGGCACACGCTGTCGCAGACGAGCCGTGCATAGGGAGCGTGTGTGTTTGTGATGCGCCGTAGAGTCTCCGCGGGTTTCAAATGAGCGCACAGGCTGCACTGAGACGCCCCACACGCTCCTGCACCCGCTACAAGTTTATTACCAACAGCAGCGGCCGTAATGAAATATGATCACACTTGTTGAGTGTCAGACCTCGAGTGAGAGACAAGACCGAGTCCAAACACGAGTCCGAGACGAGACACGGCGATCTACCCACACGACCTTGGCGATCGACTGGTAGATCACGATCGACATATTGAGCACCCCTGGTCTACGCTGCATCCTCTGACCCCCTGTAATTCTCTGTACCACTTTCCCTCCGCTGTCGACATATTCACTCGCCCTCCTCTGCACTATTGTCCCTCTTCTGCACCACTGTCCCTCCTCTTCTCCTCTCCCCTGTACCACTATCCTGCTTCTGTTCCGCTCTTCTTCCTCTGTACCACTTATTCACTCTCCCTCCTCTGTACCCCACTGCATCTTCTGTATCTGTGTCCCTCCTCTGTTCCATATATTCACTCTTCCTCCTTTGCACCTCTGTCTCTCCTCTGTACCACTCTCCCTCTGTTCCACATATTCACTTTCCCTCCTCTGCACCTTTCTCCCTCCTCTGTACCACTCTTCCTCCTTTGTACCACTCTTCCTCCTCTGCACCTCCCTCCTCTTTACCACTCTTCCTCCTCTGTACCTCTTTTCTTCCTGCTTTGCACTTCTGTCCCTCCTCTTTACCTCTGTAACCCTCTTCCTCCTCTGTACCTCTGTACCACTGTCCCTCTTCTGTACAATTCTTCCTCCTCTCTACCTCTCTCCCTCCTCTGTACCTCTGTTCCTCCTCTGTACCTCCGTCCTTCCTCTGTACCTCTCTTCCTCCTCTCTACCTCTCTCCCTCTTCTGTACTTCTTCTCTTCCTCCTTTGTACCTCTGTCCCTCCTCTGCACGGGGTTAGTCCGTGTGAAATCAGCCGTTTTCAGGGAATCTCCCCTTTGAACCACCTCAGATTTGACTGAAAAAATTCTGAAAAAAAAAAAAATTAAAAATTAAAAATCACCAAATGAAAGAATCTCAAATTTTAGCTCAATCCCTTCAGTCGTTCCTGAGTTATGGCCCGTTGAAATTTTGGGGCCATACTCACTTTTTCTTTCACTTTAAATGTATTTATTTATGTATTTATGTATTGTCTTATTATTATTATTATTGTTATTATTGTTATTATTATTATTATTATTAATAATTTTTTAAATGTTATTTATTTTTTTATTATTATTATTTTTTTTTTTTTACACATTTTCATCTTCCTAGCTCTTTTTTTTTTAATGAAGTTCTGATCTCTCAAACATGCTTATAGTTTAAGCTTTCAGAAAAAGTGAGCATGGCCCCAAAATTTCAACGGGTCATAACTCAGGAACGACTCAAGGGACTGAGCTAAAACGTGAGATACTTTCATTTGGTGATTTTAGAATTTTTTTGTAATTTTTTCAGTTTTTTCCATCCCTCTTCTGTACCTCCGTCCCTCCTGTGCGTCGTACATTCCCTCTCAGGATCGTGGGTAATCGTCTGTACTTTGTGACCCTCAGAGGAACAGAATGAGGAAATAGCTCCGTAAATCCTCGTCTCACAAACTGAAGCTCCTGTGTTTTCATAAAGAGACGTCTGTGTGTCCGGGGGTCACTCGGTCCGTCTGGGAGAAGCACAAGCTCCTCGTACTTTATTACTGCAATTATATTGTATTATAAAGAATAGAGCGGCACGACGGGTTTGCGCTGAGTTTAGTCATGAAATGTAGTTAATCGTATCTGTTTACTCAATTACAGGAGCTTCTGTTGCTTAAAAAATACTGAAAAACAGAACCAACACCAGAAAAGTTACACAGGGCACTTTTAAATGTTTTGTCTTCCTCATAAAGACAGAAGTATTACACATGTACTTCTGTCGTTAATTAAATCTGGAGGTTTCAGATAACACATTTTGAAGCATGATGTATTGCTCAAGTAAATAAACAGTAATACTGAAACTAATTTATGCCACTGACGCAATAACCCTAAAGCAGATTTAAACCAGAAAACTATTCTAAATGTACCGCAGTTTTCGCAATATAGGGGCTCTGGATTATAAGGCGCACATTGTCATTGAATGGTCTATTTTTGAACTTTTTTCACATACAGGCAAGTTTCAGATGACGTCATTGTTATTAAAAGCCCGCGTTGCATGCAGGGAAATATTTTGGTCGGAGGCAAGAAACACGGTAGCGTCAAACACAGTGTAACCTCGCGTATTTCTCCCCGGTAATGGTAAATTCCTGCTGCATTATCGGATGCACAAATAGAAGCACGGAAGAAGGAAAATGTCTTTTTTGTATTCCGAGTGAAAAGAACCGCTAACGGTGAATTAAACGGCTTTGAAACATCCACAGAGCAAACGTAGAAGATCCTAACAAACCGTGGACTCCAACAAGTTCAACAACACATCGAGACTCTTGGAGGTTTTCATCTTTTCTGCTGTGAATGGCCCAGGAGTTTCCACCAAGTCATTGTGGATATCGCCCAAGTGAATATTTGTCCAGGTAGTTGGAGATTCTGACCAGACATTTGGTTTTGTCCACCTTTTGTCAGGGTTGAAAAGGGTGATTTGTCGTCCATCGATGCTTATGACCAATTTCTGGTCAAATGGTCTTGGGTCCTCTGCCTGTTAGAGTGGATAAATAACTGGGATCAATACCCTTTACGTGCTTTCTCGCTCCGTCCGTCATGTTGAATTAGTGTTTCTTGCCGCCGACCAAAATAATTCCCAGCATGTAACGCGCGCTTTTGTCAACAATGAAACTCCCCTATAAACGGCACCGGACTAGAAGGCGCATTGAACGAAACACAACTTAAGTCTACGTTCAGACTGCAGGGCTTAACGCTCAATTCCGATTTTTGAGGTCGTTCACATTTCCAGTTAAATGTCACTTGTATGTGACTCCAGTGTGAACATTAAACAGCCCAAAAGTGTCCCACATGTGCACTGGAGACACCACGACGTCAACCGCAGCGAGCGTCTCTGTGTTTACAGAAGTTGTCCAAACATGGACGCAGCATCAAGCACCTGGAGATTTTAAAGTTCCTCTCGTAATGGAGCCAGAACATGAACAACTTACTTATTTTAAGGAGGAGATTAAGAAGGAGAAGGACGAGGTTTTTGGTCGTGGTGTTTTGTGGTTCAGTCCGTTGAAAGGAACGTGTGGATGTGGAGACGGAGCCAAGAGTGGTGAGTGGTGATGTGCTTCACTTCAGTGACACGGAGTTCATGAACAATTTTCGCCTACTTCAGCACAGAATAGTGATGTTTGTGGCTTGTTGATAACGTGTAGGTGGATGAATGCACTTTGACCGTTCACACTGAAGTCACATGTCAAAAGATCAGATATGTATCGGTTTTACGACCACATATCCAAAAAATCAGATTTGGGTCACTTCAGGTGCAGTCTGAACGCAGCCTTAAGGGCTATTCACACCAAAGCGTCAAAAAAACGCCTTGACGTCTCTATTTGGAGCCTTTGTATTTGAGTTTAGACGCTCGTCACGATTCACCGTGGACGAACGGGAGAAAAATACTTGACACGCGTCCGTTGCCCTGGAAACAAGAACCCGGTCCCGCTCTTTTCCTGAAACCATGTCAGACCAGACTGAGAGACTTTAGTGTTTTTATGACATAAATCATCAGCGGAGGAGATTGACTTGATGACTGGGACGTGTTTATATTTATACTCCACTATTGACACTGGATCAGTCCTGGTTTAGTCCTGGTTTAGTCCTGGTCCAGTTCTGGTGTAGTTCTCGTGATCTTCTCGGTGATTGTGGTGTATATATTTATTCTTTGTTCATGTTTGTGGTTCTTGTTCTGGTTCTGGGGTTTTTCTTCCTGATAATAACGTCGCTGCGTCTCTGGATACTCGTCCCTGATTGGTCGACGCTGTGGGTCTGACGCGAAAAGTTCAGCATTTTCAACTTCTTGAGGCTGACGCCTTGGACGCGCGTCTAGAGCGTCGACGCAAAAACGCTCAAGACTCGCCGTGTCGATGCCAGATTCGTGCCGCGCTGACGCCGAAGACGCGCCGCAAAAACGCAGGATGCTCTAGTCGCGTCCACATCAACTTTACATAGAAACTGGACGCTCTGACGCTTTAGACTTAGATCAGTCAGTCAAACTTTATTCAACGCGTTCACAATAACTCTCAACTTTGTTCAACTGTAACGTGTGGAAAGTCGTTTTTGATGAAATTAAAGGCTTTTAAGTGCGCCCTATAATGCGGAAAATACGGTATAATATTGTCAAAAAATCATGAAGTGGAATCAATAAATAACGGAATGAACCACTTAATGAGTTACAGAAGCTACAGCTCAAATTTCATCATGTAGCCAAAAAATAACACAATATTTCTCAGTTGTACTAAGAAAAAGTATAAAAAATATATTGTTCCATCAAGTCGATCTAGTAATTATCATGACCTAGATTCAGATGAGGCATGTAGGTGTTGGGGCGCCCTCTGCTGTCAGCAACGGGAATAAACGTAAACAATAGATGGGTTTCACGTGACGTCACAGGGCTACGTTTGTCAGCATGCAAAATCAGATGGAGGGCAGGAAGAGAACTGACTGGAGGAAAATGACGATGTGTTGTGCAGTTTACGGCTGTGCCAATTGTTCTAACCAAGAGAAGGAAAAGCGATTTTTTTAGAGTACCGAATATAGTCGTCCACAAAGGTCAGAAGTGGGAAAAGCCGACAGAACAACACCGTAAAAAGTGGATTACAAACCTGTTTGCGATTGGTAGGAGCAGAATTCACTAATGCTCGTGTCTGCAGTGACCACTTCCACAAAGGTTTGTTACAAAGATAAATTGTTTTTTGTGGTTTACCTAAATATAAATGAATCATTTATGACTAACGACGTTTGTTGACATTAAATAGTTCAGATAGAGGTCACTGCCGATACACTGCAGTTTTTCCCATAACGTCTATACACATAAAATAAGAGAAACACTCACCCCGGCGAAGACCAAACCATAATCATCATTTAGGCGTTTTGCACCGAGGTTGAGGACCCATCCACTGACAAAAAAAGTTCTATGCCTCCAAACTTTTGTACTTTGTCTTCATCTGTTGTCTGGTGTAGAACAATGTCTGAAGAGCTAAATAGTCGGTGATCTCCTCTGCCTCGATTGTCGGCAAATCTTTTACTTCGGTTGAAAATTCTCTCATTTTCAATAAGATCAGGGTCAACGCCCAATATATTTGTCGACTAACTGCTCGTACTTTTATCTCGCTCCTGGCTCTAAATCCTGACAATAAGAACTCTTCTCCATATCTGTGTTCTCCAGAGCCGTGTTTGTTTGTTGTGTTTGTCTTCACTTCCTGCCCTCCACCTGAAATTCGCGCATCATCGTGATCACGTGACTGAATCCCTCCTATTATTTCAAAAACTCACTGGATTCTGGATAATTAAAGGTTTTATAAGAACAGTTACAGTTAGAATATATTACACACACACACACACACACACACACACACTGTTTATAGAAATGGACAGAGCTAACCCGCTAACAGGAAGTGTGCATGGGGACGCTTCCGGGTCCATCCACTCTGGCTCCGACTGCGTTTATAAGAGCTTTAATTCCGAATAAAAAAACGTTGAAACGTAAATCCTGACAATAAGAACTCTTCTCCATATTTGTGTTCTCCAGAGCCGTGTTTGTCGTGTTTATCATCACTTCCTGCCGTCCACCTGAAATTCGCGCATCATCGTGATCACGTGACTGAAACCCTCCTATTCGCTCTGTGCACCACAGTATCTGGTTAGTTCGAGTCAGAGGGACCTGCCTGGCCTTTCCCGGTCTGACGTCGTGTAATGAGGTTTGTGCAGAGTCGTGTTAAATCATTAAACCCTGACAGATCGGGCAGCGACGGGAGCTGTGGGCGGACGACAACAACAACACTTTACAAACGGAGAAAACAGAGAGGAGGTCGGGCTTCTGCGGCGACTGCTCCCAAGATGTGGAATCGGCAAATAAGGCTGAACGACTTTTAAGTCCCTCCTAAAAACTCACTTTTTTTCCTTGTTATGTTATTGTTATGTGTTTTCTGATACAGTCGTCCCTCGCCCCTTATGTAACAGATAATACTCCCTACAACTGTACAACAACTCGCCCTTATGTAACAGATAATACTCCCTACATTATATTTTGTTACTTAGCTTTCCATTTTATTTTTTATTTTATTTTTATATTTTATAATTTATTACTCTATTTTTATATTTTATTTATTACTAATATTTCTATTCTATTTTTTTACTTTTATATTTTATTTATTACTTATCTTTCTGTTTTATTTTTAATTTTTATATTTTATAATTTATTACTCTATTTTTATATTTTATTTATCTTTCTATTCTATTTTTTATTTTTTATATTTTATTTATTACTTTCTATTTTATTTTTTACTTTTATATTTTATCATTTATTACAAAATGTTTATATTTTATTTATTACTTATCTCTATTCTCTTTTTTATTTTTATATTTTATTTATTACTTTCTATTTTATTTTAGATTTTTATATTTTTATAATTTATTACTCTATTTTTATATTTTATTTATTACTTATCTTGCTATTTTATTTTTGTTATGTTTAATGTCTTTTTTGACACCTGTCTATTGCTGTTTTTCTTTTTTTTTTTTTTTTTTTTTTGCTATTTATTTAGAATTTATTTATGTTTTTGCTCTTTGTTATTATATTTATTATGATGTGTGAGCTCCTGTGTCCGAATAATTTCCCTTGTGGATCAATAAAGTTTGTCTAAGTCAAATTTTGATTTATGGATTAATGAAATAAGCACAAATGAAGCAAAACTACAACTCCCGGTATGTTTTTAAATAAGAAGACGATGATATTAAAAGCACAAAAAGTCAGTTGTGCAGTATATATTTGTTGTTTAAGGCACAGTTCTCAGATTTCCGTTGGATTTGTGTTGTGTTGTGTGTTTTTGTGCGAGTACCGACCTGTATATGGGCTTATCTCCTTCTGTACTCCGAGTCCCGGGTCCTGCTTTGTCCCTCGTCCAAATGCTCCGACGTCTCACTGGGAGTCACGGCTGAAACAGAAAAAAAAAGACAAAATAAGTCTTGTGGGGGAAAGCGAAATGTCTTTAAAGCTGCATTGCGTAACTTTTCCGGTGTAGGGCTTTTTTTTTTGTCTGGAATGGAACCAGCTCACAGTCAGAATGTTTGTTTTTCGAGGTGTTTTTGAGCCATAAAACCACCTGTAATTGAATAAATGTGAAGTACACTGCGACCCAAATTATTATGCAAGTCAGTTTTTTAATAAAAGTGGTATTAATTCATGCCTGATAGGGCAGTTGATTAACCAAAAGCATAAAATATTTGAAGCATTTACGTATTGAGCAAAAATTTGTTAAAATGTTAATATGCTGTGAACCAAATTATTATGCAGACATATATAAAGGGGAGTATTCTGTGTTCTGTGACCATAAGCACTAAAGACGGGAAAGAAGAAGGACCTCAGTAGTAAGGAGAAGGCTTCTATCGTGACATTTTTGGGAGAGGGGCGACCAACGATTGAAATAGCAAGATTATTGGACTGTGACCATAGGACAATCAAGGCCTTTGTTTCCAATGGTGAAAAAACAAGAAAAAAACGTGAGGAGGCTCCAAGGAGGAAGCTAACAGCTCAAGATTTGTCAGCTTTAAAGAGAGAAATGATCAAACAGCCTTTGAGTTCCAGTGCAAGCATCTTTTCTGCTGTTGGTCCAGGCCACACCCCAAAGACCTCACGGAATCGTGTTCTGAAAACGCTTGGTAAGGTCTAAAAAGCAAAAACAAAGCCTCCACTTAATCAAAAACACAAGGACAAAAGACTGGCATGGTGTAAGAAGTATATGAAATTGGATTTTGGGCAAGTTATCTGGACTGATGAGATGCGTGCCCCTTGATGGTCCGGACGGTTGGGCTAGAGGTTGGATAGCCAAAAGTACCGCTGCTCCACCCAGTTTGAGGCGTCAGCAAGGTGGTGGAGGTGTTATGATATGGGCGGGCATCATAAAAAATGAACTCATTGGCCCTTTCCGGGTTGCAGAAGGAGTGAAAATGGATTCGGCAAATTACTGCAAATTCCTAGGAGAAAATTTCCTTCCGTGGTTGAAGAAGACACCAGCTGCGCAGCGCAAGAAAATGATGTTCATGCAGGATAATGCTCCAAGTCATGCATTCAAGTTTACTGTTGAGTGGCTGGCATCAAAGGGCTACTTACAGGACAAGATAATGGACTGGCCAGCATCCTCACCTGATTTAAACTGCATAAAAAATCTGTGGTTGATCCTGAAAAGAAGGGTTTTTGAAAATGGAAAACAGTTCTCATCAAAGGATAAGCTATTGTAAAGGCTGCAAAAAACATTAAACCTGCTGAAATTGAAAACTTGACATCTTCAATGGTCCTTACTCTGATGCAGAAGAAAGGTGGCTACATCTCCAAGTAAAGAATCATTTAGATATGCTTATTATTTGACAATTTGTGCTCAGGACAGTCTATCTGACAATATAAAATATGTTTGTTAATAAAACAAGATGTTTTACTTTGAAATAAAGATTTGCATAATAATTTGGTTCACCTGAAATTTGAATTGTTATTATATTTTCCATCTAATGTCATTTATGTGGAACATTGTTATGGATAAATTTGCAGAACCAGTACAGCAATGTATTCTGAAAGAAAGGGTGGGCTAACCCCAATAGTTTGTGCAAAGTAATTAAAAACCTAACTTGCATAATAATTCGGGTCGCAGTGTAGAGCTGTTTAAAGTAAAGTCACACTGTGGAACATTCCAGACAGAGCTATGACGTATCCATGGAAACAAGCAGGTGATGGACCCTCCACCAGCACCTGAGCTTGAGTTTGTTCTTTCATTTTTGCATAATCCAACACCTAATACTCTTTTTTTTTTTTTCCATTTTGTACCGTCTCTAATCTAATACGAGTTTGAGCATCAGGAAGTGTGCGTTACCATGCTAGTTTTTTTGTTTGCTATCTTTTTTACCGTCAAGTCAAGTCAAAACTCTGCTCTGGTCGCTTATAAACTCATCGTGGTGAGTTATTAAGAAGCTCTGAGTGCAGAAGGTAAAGAAAGGGAAATCTGTGTGTCGTTCGTTCATTTGGTTTTTCAAGATAAAACTAAAAATAAGAAAAAAAAAAAGATTTTCTTCGTTATTTGTCTCCAAAACCAAAATGGAAAAACAGATGATTCGTTTTATCGTTTTTCGATGTTGTGTTTAAATGAAAGATGGAAAAAACTGATAACGGACGTTTCTCGTTTCTCCCGTGACTGTGACACCGGACTCAACCAGGACTGAACCAGGTCTAAAACAGGACTAAACCAGGACTAAACTGTTTTCAGTCCTGGTCTGGTCTCAGTCCCGGTATGATCTCAGTCTCAGTCCTGGTGTCAGTCCTGGTCTCAATCCAGACCAGGACTGAGACTGGGACTAAACCAGGACTAAACCGGTCTCAGTCCCGGTCTCAGTCCCGGTCTCAGTCCCGGTCTCAGTCCCGGTCTCAGTCCCGGTCTCAGTCCTGGTCTCAATTACAGTCTGGTCCTGGTCCGGTCCCGGCTTCAGTCCTGGTCTCAATCACGATCTGGTCCTGGTCTGGTCCCAGTCTCAGTCCCGGTCTGGTCCCGGTCTCAATCCAGATCAGGACTGAGACTGGGACTATACCAGGACTAAACCGTTTTCAGTCCCGGTCTCAATCACGGACTCAATTACGGTCTGGTCTTGGTCCGGTCCCGGCTTCAGCCCTGGTCTGGTCCCGGCTTCAGTCCGGTCTCAATCATGGTCTCAATCACGGTTTGGTCCTAGTCTGGTGCTGGTCTGGTCCCGGTCTGGTCCCGGTCTGGTCCCAGTCTCAATCCAGACCAGGACTGAGACTGGGACTAAACCAGGACTAAACCAGTTTTCAGTCCCGGTCTCAGTCCCTGTCTTGTCCCGGCCTGGTCTTGGTCCGGTCCCGGCTTCAGCCCTAGTCTCAATCACGGTCTCAATCACGGTCTCAATCACGGTCTCAATTACGGTCTCAATTACGGTCTCAATTACGGTCTCAATTACGGTCTGGTCCTGGTCTGGTCCCGGTCTCAATCCAGATCAGGACTGAGACTGGGACTATACCAGGACTAAACCGTTTTCAGTCTCGGTCTCAATCACGGTCTCAATTACGGTCTGGTCCTGGTCTGATCCTGGCCTCAGTCCCTGTCCTGCACCTGGACCTGGTTTAGTCCTGTTTTAGTCTCGGTTCAGTCCTGGTTCAGTCCATTTTCCATTTTTTCCATTTTTCATTTAAACACAAAATCAAAAACTGAAAAAAAAAAAAAGAATAATTATCTGTTTTTGTTTTTTTTTCATTTTTGGTTTTGGAGACAAATAATGAAGAAAATAGTTTTTTTTTTTCCATTTTCTTATTTTTGGTTTTATTTTAAAAAATAAATAAACGAGTGACACACAGATTAAGAACTCTGGACAACTGCAAACTGTTTTTCACATTTTTTAAAGATCGTAAAAATCAACTAGGGCGCATTTGTTTTTCACATTTTTCTAAGTTTTTATCTCATCATCAGCTGCGAGGACTCGATGTTCAGGCACCAAAGCACGTGCCTAATCTCTATCTTCCTGAGTCGCTGCGTGTTTAGAGAGAGTTCTAAGAATAACTTCCACTTTGGGGTAAAACTGTTCAGCGTTGCCAGATATTTACGGCGTTATCCTTGAAACGATACGGAGCAAAACCGGACGTCAGGCTCAAGGCTTCAGCGGGACGAGTTTACAATACAACTACATTTTCAAGGATTTAATGTAAAAAGACGATGTTGTGTCAAAACTCTGCTCCTGCAAAAATATCGAAATATCAATATATCGTATCGTTTAATGCGATGATACAGTATCGATATTCGGGGCTGCTGTATCGATATATCACCAAGATTATTTTTTGGTTTATTTTACTCAAATTATTTTGTTACAGCGCCCACAGTTTTGCCATTTTCTTAAGAGGAAGAAAGCTCCTTTATGCGACACATTTGACATTTTCACGATTAAAATGTTTGTGTTTCATATGAACTTTGCACAAGATGTGGTTTAACAAAAACTTTTAGTATCACAGCCACGGTTTAAACATTATTTTTTGGTTTATTTTACTAAATAATTTTGTTGCAGCCCTACAGTTTTGTTGGCTTGTTTGGAGGAAGGAAACTTTTTTAAGCAACACATTTGACATTTTTACTATTTTGAGGATTAAAATGGTTGAGTTTCATATGAACTTCGCACAAGAAATGGTTTTGCAAAGTCAGCCATGAGAAAGGCTTTATTTTTTATCGAATCGGTTTGAAATGTATCGTATTGAATCAAAATCTCACTGTATCGAGGTATATATCGTATCGGCAACTTCTTAAAGGTTGTATGGAGGATTTTTTGTTTGTTTCAAATTGTCAGTGAAAGTTTAAAACACCATTACAGAGACGCAGCAGCCTTGTTATTAATTATGATGACCAAAAAAAAAAATAAAAGAAAATCTATCAACTATGTGGACGTGTTGAGGCCAGATAAACATCAGCCAATAGAAAACGAGGCTGCCTCATTTTCTATTGGCTGTCAGGTTGTCAATCAAACTCCCTACGTTTCTAAGGTAACTATGCAGCGGGTCTTAGAGGCTTTTTCTAACTGTGGCTCTCTCGCAGTTCGCATAAAGTTTGTCGCGATGGCGGACGAGAATCCACGACCAGTTCGCCGCAAAAGAAAGTCGGTTTTTGAGGTCGCTGAAAGAAGAGAAGGGGAAAAGGAGTGAAGACAAACTGAGGTGATTCTTGGAGATTCCTTCCAGCGATGGCGCGACTGAAGCGGACGAAGGGTCTAAAAACTGAGGTGTCGGTCTCTATATTATTTCTAGAGGCTGTGGAGGAGGAAGGTGGTGTCACGCATGCACTACATTTGAAAAAGGACTGTCGCTGGATTTCTCTTTCCTTAAAAAATCCTCTATACAACCTTTAATGATACCCAGCCCTAGTCACCACCACTCACTCCCACGCCACGTCCACACCAG